CTCCTGGTCCAGGTCTGGTCGAATCCATCGCGCAAGTGCTGAGTCGTGCGTTGCGTCAAGCTGGATTACCTGCATCGCTGCATCAAGCACTGAGGTGAATTGCTAGCGCCACTCATGGACGCTTGGTGACGGATGTTTACCCTGTTGTTGCTGCTGGTCCAGGTCGTGGCACTTGCCTTGCCGAGCTAACTGTTATCACCAGGTGTCTGCGATATCCATGTTCCACGATGACTGGGTGCTTAACGTGTTGCCTGGTTTCAGGTGCCAGACGGCAGAGCATGTACACGAAGGTCGTGTGTGAAGGCTGGGAGAGTTTGCAGCGATTGCTACCCGAGGGGGAGGGGGCGTCATGTTCCCCCCTGCTCGGACACTGATTACTTGGGAGCGTTTCCCGAGGTATGTAGAGTAAAAATTGAAGTATCCCTTGAGGTAAGATGTTGACAACATTGGGACGTGTGGCCGAGTGGTCAAGTTCGTGATTCAAAGGATTGGTAATGGAAAAGTGCAGGTGAGTTCGAGTCTGGCTACGTGTAACTTTTTTCTTCACCTGCCACAACATCTACAGCACTCTCATGTACATGTACATTGCGGTGACATGGTGCTCAATTGCTCATAGAATTTCAACAATGATGCATAATGACATCACTATGACGTCAGGGTGGAGGAAATGATCTCACTAGACTGACTCACTGCCGGACTCGTAACAGGAGTGCAATGTAGTACTGAAATGATGACCAGTGGGAACTGTGCATGGAGTCATGTGATGTCACGTGATGTCACGTGATGTGTGTTCTTGGAATTCTGCTTCATAGTCCATGTTGGTATTTCTATGTTTACAGCCTTGCATGCATGTCTAGTGATATGTCTGAGGAGAAACCTTAATAGGAATGTAACAGCCATTACACAAACATGCCTACAGCAAAACCATCTGCAAGAAGGTACAATAAGAAAAAAATAAATAAAAAAATAAAAAAATAAGAACTGGAAGGAGAACTACAGAGCACTTCATGTTGAATTTTTCACGAGATTTTTGTACATAGATTCTCTCAAGAAGCTGAGTCGATCCCCACCCACCATCCTATCGATAGTCTTCTTTTATAATCCTTTCTGGAGAGTGGTGGCAACTTCACACTTATGCAAGCGATAAAATGCAGAACATGTACATCACATGTATGTACATGACAGATTTGCACCTATCAGAAACGTCTGCTCTAATGTCATCACACGCAAACACATACATACACACACACACACACATGCACACACACACACACACACACACACACACACACACACACACACACACACACACATGCACACACACACACACACACACACACATGCACACACACACCAGACCAGTGAATATTTATGCATACTGGAACATTAGTGAAAACCAGGAATTGTTCTCGCAAAAGTAGGGAATTGTGTGTATTTCTCAAGAATTGCCCAAGCATCACGAAGTCGCTACAACCTCTTCTTCACATTATTATTATATTATTATTATTATTATTTTAATATGGCAATAAGTAGGAATTATTATTATTTTGCTTGTTCGCGTTGGCATCAACCTGCATAAAGCATTATAGCCTTCACTTAAGCTGCCATAAAAAAGAAAGCTCATCCTAAGCGAGAGGGCTAGAGGAAAAGAATAACGATAACGAGATACAGAATACAAAGAAATCCAATGAGTTAAACATACGTATACAGTTCAAAACAAAACAGAGCAGAGCCGAAGTTACTAATCGGAGTTACGAATACGTTCTTCACAAGCTTCTAATAGTATCATGTAGTTCAAAAAATGTCCCAGAAGTATAGTGACCGGTTTAGCTGATTTAAAAAAGGTCGAATGAAGGTCTTAGAACAGAGCTGGATACAACATTGCAAGAGATTGCTTCAGGGTTCATTTTTGCAAGCGTGGCTAATGAAGTCACAACGAAGGGTCAAATCCCGTTGCACTACACTTTGGAGTAATTCATGTTGTACCGTACTGCGTACAGTAACTGTTGATGTAGTATACTGCATCTACGTCTTGAAGATGAAGGAAACGCCAACGAGGTGGATGGATGCATTCGGACGCATAGACAAAGTCCTAGCTGGCAGGACAGGTCGTTATGATGGTTGAGAGCGAGCTGTCATGATTGGGGGCAGCGCTGTAGCACCAGGATTTTAGGTGGGCTGACCGAATGGTATACACGACCAGAAACGAACACTCATGAAGATTCATGAAGATCCCGGTTGTGCAAGTATTCGGTGTCGGCGTTTTCGAAACGAGCCGGACTGGGTGGGTGTGCTACGGTCATGGTTGGTGACGATGGCTGATACTGAACTGTGCGTAGAAATGATTCATGGCTTGTATTCCGTGATTCAGATCTTCAGCAGTCTAAACTCTAACTCACACAAGAAGGAACACGACACAGACCATGCACAATATATTTTAAGTTTCTACAATACACCAATATCCAATGATTTTCAGGGTAAGATGTAAACGGGAAAAGTCTGAAGAAAACTTAGATTTTCACCATCAGTACTAGAACCAGGGACCTTCGCTCGAGTACAGCAGTGCTCTATGCACTGAGTTATGGTGTATGGTCTAATGATTACAAACAGGCAGAGGGAGTATACCTGTATACAAATATCCTAACCACGCTCTATGCGATTGATTTTCTAGACTGGATAATTCAAGGACATGTGATTGTCTGAGGGAATGCATGGCATGTTGATTTATGTATATGTACTACTGAAGTGTATTGTAACACACCATGTACCATGTACCATGTACCGTGTACCATGTACCATGTACCGTGTATACACCCGTCGCAAGAGAAGCACGCAAATCTGCAAATGCATTGGATGTGCACCCACAGATTTTCTCTTATAGCAACGATAGCGAACAAGATCTGAATGAGACAGATCAAGACTTGCGCCAGATAACTGTGTAATCCAGACAACTGGCGAAGCCATGTGAATCGACCACCAATGCACACCTGGTCTACACCACACGGAGTACATCGGCATAAAACGGCCAAGACAGTTACCTATGCACACCCTACACTTGCTGGGGTAACCAGTATAGACAGCACGCTGCTTTGATAGAAGCAGCACACACACACACACACACACACACAAACACACGTGCGCACACACACATGCACACACACACACACACACGGGCGCGCACACACCTTCCTTTTTCCTTCTTCTCCACTGCCATGACTGGCTAAGTGGCCCCATACGGGGCAGCTCTTGGATTAGCGCTGTCTCCGGGAAGCGGCACCAGGACCCGACGACTGACGTGACGGCGCATTCCCACGGGTTATAATTGCTATTGAACGCCGCGATGTACAACGATGCCGTGCGATATCCTGACGGCGGCGGAAACTGCGGTTGCACACACCGCAAAGCAGAGGCTTGTCGACAGGCTCTTGACGGGCAAGTACAATACGATCCACCCCATCAAGGCACTGGGACTTCCACTCACGGCGATTACTTGCCACGTCGAGCCAGGAATTGGGCTCAATGCCAATTGCCGCCAGGTCGGTCCGCACCACGTCCTTCCATCGCTTCCTCGGACCATGGGGTGGGCGCTTCGATGGCAAGGAGCCAAACAACAGCTGACGAGGGATGCGGTCGCCCCTCGGCATACGTGCCATATGGCCCAGCCACTGCAGCCGCCGCCTGCGAATCTTGTCAGCCGGCTGCTCCAAGTCGCCCCACCATTTCCGCACCTGCAAATTGGAGATGTGCTCATCAATCTGGCGTGCACGACCGATGTGCAAGATCATCCTCAAGCACTATGGTGAAACACGTCAAGCCGCTGCAGGTCCCTTTGCCGTGTTGTCCAAGTCTCAGAACCATACAGGAGGACAGCCAGAACAGTGACGCCATAGACTACACGCTTGATGCCGATGGTGAAGTCCGAGTTGTAGAACACTGCATCCTTCAAACTGTGGAAAGCGCCCGATGCAGCAGCAATTCTACGCGACACATCATAGGTACACCTGGCATCCGGTGTCACATGGCATCCAAGATAACGAAAGGAGTGCACGTGCTCCACCGTGCCGTTTAAAGGTGCCATGTCCCCGTTCACCACCCCAGTCCCAATAGCCATGAACTTTGTCTTGGCCATGTTAACCTTGAGCCCAAAGGCGGAAGCAGTAGTCTCAAACCCAGCGAGTGCTCTCTCTGCACCGGGGTGAGTCTTGGCAAGAAGTGCAGAGTCGTCCGCAAACTGGCATTCCGTTAGTGGAGCCCTGGTGTATGCTCGGAGACGCGTGTTGAACAGTCTGTCCTGACGAAACTGACAAATTGATAGTCCAATCTCGTCGTCACCAGCTATTGCTTCATGCCATTTCTCGACAACAGCAAGCATGTACAAATTGAAAAGAATCGGGGCCATGGTGCATCCTTGACGCAGTCCGTTCCCCACCGCAATCGGCTCCAACAGCTCGCCACCAATGCGTATAGATGCTGACATGTCGACATGGAACGATCGAATTACGGAAACCAGCACCTCTGGTACGCCAAGCTTTGCAAGCACCCTCCACAAGGCGGCCCGCGGCACCGAGTCATAGGCCTTTCGGAGGTCAATGAATACTGCAAATCCCTTGGAAGAATGCTCATGCAACTTCTCCGCGACTTGCCGAACAGAGAATACCATATCCGAGCAGCCCCTGCCTCTGCGAAAACCGCACTGAGAATCAGGCAGATACTGTTCCCCAACACGCTGCAGACGGTCCGCTATAAGCCGTGCAGCAAGCTTGCCAACCACGTCGAGAAGGGCAATCCCGCGCCAGTTATCAGTCAGACTCAGATCACCCTTCTTGGGGATAGGGACCAGGATGGCATCCACCCAATCCTGCGGTACTCGACCAGCTCGCCATACCTCCTCCAGCAATGCCTGCAGCTTACCCAGTAGAACAGGACCACCATACTTCAGCATCTCGGCAAAGACTTCAGAGCTACCACAAGCTTTGCCGTTCTTCAGTGCTTGCATGGCCTTACGAATCTCCACACGGTCGGGAACATCCGCAAGCTCCACCCAAGACCGGACGCTGGTCAATAGAGTCAAGGGTTTCCACGTCAAAGTCGCTGACGATATTGAGAACTCTCCCAAAGTGCTCCCGCCACCGCATGTTCGTGGCCTCGGGGGTGTCACAAACCTGTCCCATTGAATTCTTGATCGCTGTTGTGACCTTCGGTTTTAGTCCCTGAAACGCAGCCTGGATGTGTCTGATGCACTCCCAGCCACCCTTGGACGTGAGGCTGAAACGTTTGCAATCCTGGGCCTTGCTGAGTAGCCATTCCTGCTTGACGCGTCTGACTTCCCTCCGCGCGGAGCTGCGGGCACACTTATAGGCATTGCAATCACTGACTTTGCGTGTAGACACCCAAACAGCAAACAGCCGATCCCTCTCCAGTAGGAAAGGTTCAAGCTCTGCCTGACTATCCCGAAACCACTCCGGCTGTCTACGGCTCTCTCTGCCCAAGCAATCCTCTGCAACCTTGATAGTTGTTGTCTTGATGGTAGTCCACCAGTCATCCAAGGATGGCTCATGCGACCAGGCTCCCTCCAAATCTGCATCCAGCATGTCGCGAAAGACCTTACGAGTGTCCGGTTCGTCATCTCCGCCAGGCTTGCACAACAGCTTGGACACAGCAATGGGTTTTCTGATGACAGCACGGGTACGATGGAAACAGGGATTCTCTGCCAGGCGCAATTTCATAGCCAAGAATTTATGATCGGTATCACATTCCGCAGACCGGATGACTTGGCAATCAATACACTGGGAGCGTCGGCTCTGAGGAATGATGCAGTAGTCAATGCAGTGAGGCTGTTTGTATCGAGGATGAAACCAGGTATGCTTATGAACATCATTCTTCCGAAACCACGTGTTACATATGAGGGCACCATTTCTGGACAAGAAATTGAGCAAATCCTCTCCAGCTGAGTTCATTCGACCAAAACCATGAGGGCCTCTGACACTTGACCAGTCACCATCCGCACCAGCACTGCCAACACGGGCGTTGAAGTCACCAAGAAGGACGAATTGATCGTTCCTGGGAATACTGTCAATGAAGGACTGGACATCTGCGTAGAATTGAGTTTTCTCCTCACGGGGCCTGACAAACGTGGGGGCATACGCCACAGCGAAGTGCAGGCAAGACACAGACTGATTCCGACCACATACGAATTTTACCTGCAATGACAGGAGTCTGGAGCTGACCGCCGTCCAGCGAGAGCCTCCGCGTTCAAATGCCTCCCTGCATCTGCCTCGCAAAACGACAGCAACCCCTTCACCACGACGAGCAGGCTCATCCCCAGTCGGTGTTGGGCGACCACTTGTCAAAACTAAGCAATCTCCGACAGTATATTGATGAGAGCCAAACCAAAGCGTCTCCTGGAGGCCAACGATGTCCATTCCATACTTTTTGAGCTGACGACACACAAGGTCAATTTTTCTCTCCTCGCGAATATTCGAACAAACTTTCCTTGATTTTTTTGCTTTGGACGCCGTATTCAAATTTCGTCAGTGTCGACAAGAGTCCTGACGTTCCACGTTCCCAGAGACAGAACAACCTTTCGAGCCGCTGGTGCACGCGAGTGAAAAGACTCTGGGCGAGGGTTTGCAAGACCTCTACACCCAGGCGAAAGAGGGTCAGCGCGAGTGGTCACATCCGAAGTGGCCATGTCGTCAACGCTGAATTTTCCTCCTCCGCGGCAGCAAGATGAAGACTGCCTTGTCTAACACCGCGTCACTAAGTGTTTTCTACTCACCAGGGCTGGCCCTGGCAGAAGCCAGGAGCCAGCCCGTGGCCCTAAACTCACTACGAAGAAAGAAGAGTTCGGAGCTCCAAAAACTGCTTCCTCCTCTCTCAAGAGAAACGCACACACACACACGCACACACACACACACACACATACATACACACACATGCACCCACACACGCACACGCATGTCCTGTCATGTAGAGCCACTACCACTAGGGTCACGTGGGCCCCGGAGGGGCAGCAGAGAGAGAGAAAGAGCAGGCCACCCGATGGCACTCCAGATGCGAGACTAGTCGGAACCGGCGAGAGCAGATACACATATGCGGGAACTTGTCCCGTTCTCTAGCCGTTGGGCGGTGACACACACACACACGCACACTCGGACACTTTCACAATCTGAAGCTCTGTACCTGGGTTCAGTCAGAGAGACAAGAAGTTGCCTTTCAAAGTACTACAATATTGATTGTTAAAAGGCGACGTGGAGACAATAATCTTAATAATGCAATGAATATAACTAAATGCGCACTCATATCACAACCATGGGGACGAATAATGTATTCCAGAACGTTTTCTTGTCACAATTATCAATGGAATTCGTGACTAAAGAGAATGATGAAACTACAATATGGATTTATACACTTGGAGTGGAACAGCGAGGATACAAGCATAGTAAGAAAAATAGCACAAACCTAGGAACAATTTGCACAGATAATAAACTATAGGTGAGGTGAGAAATGATAGGAAATTCAGCAAGTGCAGTGTGACAATGGACATGAATGGGCAATATTGATTGTGTGACTGTGTTTTGTGATAGGAATCACATTGCCTTTCAAAGGCCTGAATTATGGCCAAAAATCTGTGGGTCATAATTTTACCACTCCGAGCTACGTATATCTTGAGTGTGCTGAGTGTTTGTCTGCATCTAGACGGTTAAAACATAGTTACATACATCCAAGAGTGGGTCATGGGTTACTGATCTCTATTTTCATTGGTTGAGCCATGGTTACTGATCTCTCTTTTCATTGGTTGAGCCATGGTTACTGATCTCTCTTTTCATTGGTTGAGCCATGGTTACTGATCTCTCTTTTTCATTGGTTGAGCCTTGGTTACTGATCTCTCTTTTTCATTGGTTGAGCCATGGTTACTGATCTCTCTTTTTCATTGGTTGAGCCATGGTTACTGATCTCTCTTTTTCATTGGTTGAGCCATGGTTACTGATCTCTCTTTTTCATTGGTTGAGCCATGGTTACTGATCTCTCTTTTTCATTGGTTAAGCCATGGCTACTGATCTCTCTTTTTCATTGGTTAAGCCATGGCTACTGATCTCTCTTTTTCATTGGTTGAGCCATGGTTACTGATCTCTCTTTTTAATTGGTTGAGCCATGGCTACTAATCTCTCTTTTTCATTGGTTGAGCCATGGTTACTGATCTCTCTTTTTCATTGGTTGAGCCATGGTTACTGATCTCTCTTTTTCATTGGTTGAGCCATGGCTACTGATCTCTCTTTTTCATTGGTTGAGCCATGGTTACTGATCTCTCTTTTTCATTGGTCGAGCCATGGTTACTGATCTCTCTTTTTCATTGGTTGAGCCATGGTTACTGATCTCTCTTTTTCATTGGTTGAGCCATGGTTACTGATCTCTCTTTTTCATTGGTTGAGCCATGGTTACTGATCTCTCTTTTTCATTGGTTGAGCCTTGGTTACTGATCTCTCTTTTTCATTGGTTGAGCCATGGTTACTGATCTCTCTTTTTCATTGGTTGAGCCATGGTTACTGATCTCTCTTTTTCATTGGTTGAGCCATGGTTACTGATCTCTCTTTTTCATTGGTTGAGCCATGGTTACTGATCTCTCTTTTTCATTGGTTGAGCCATGGTTACTGATCTCTCTATTTTTCATTGGATGAGCCATGGTTACTGATTTCTCTTTTTCATTGGTTGAGCCATGGCTACTGATCTCTCTTTTCATTGTTATCAGGTTCCATGAGGTACACCAGATTTCTACAAGCAGAGGTTACCACGATAGGTACTGTTCTCAAAGGAATCTCGTAACATCTTCTGAAGCCAGGTGAGACGATGGCTGGTGGAGACCGAAGAGGAGAAGGCTTTGTACAATTGGTTTCGGCAAAGGTTCGCCTTTCCTGTATTTCTGATATTGCTGAACCACCCAAGTTCGGTGGTGTGTTGCTTCGCTGCTTCGAATTGAAGTTAGACCGCATTGTCATGTTATTGCCGGTAACTGGTCCCGTTATGGCCCTGTAACAATCGACATTCTTTGTTGCCATGGGACTTAGCTTGTCCCCTCTTCGGTCTTACCATAACCTTGAGCCTTCCAAGTCATAGTTGGAAGGCCGTTGGTTTGCGCACTGGAGATGTGTTAGAGCTAGGTCTCAGGTCGTTGAATATCTCAGTAGCTTGTCAGTGTTGTGCCCTGTTACCGCACTTTCTGAATGTTTATTACCTTGTTACAGACATGGCTAGTTGCTTCATAACTCGTTCCCATGCATTTTCTTCTAGTTTACATTTTGTCTATTCTCGCACCTTTTTTTGGTTGTTTTGGCATAATGTATGCCGAAGAATTCGCTCATTTTGACTTGCGATAGTAGCAGCCTTTCAGCTTTTTTCTGAAAAATATGGATGCAATTTCAGCAACTTTGACTTGTTTTGGCATGGTTGCGAAAAGCACGAGTTGCGACAAAATGTGCATCTTTGGAACAGGACTACTCGGGAAATGCAGGAGAAGAGCCGATAAAAAGTTCACGGCACTAAGAGCATTGAACACAGCACCTATCCTTTGACACCGTGAATACAATAAGACAACTGAAAATGACCAAATTCTGCACTGATCGACCTTCTCTCCCTGTTGGAGCTAAGAGGATCGCCGGCCATCACTGCGCTGGTCGTTATGGCAATGTATATACATGTAATGCAATTTGCGATTTGGCATCTTGACCCACCTGGGAAAATCGAAGCACTTCCCTTTTATTATTCTTTTATTCCACGATGGCGTGACGCCAATAAGGATGATTGTTAAGTGCGATAGAACTGGTACTAGCCAGAAACAGTTAGATGGAAATTTTAACTTTGCCTTGAGTCAGTCTGCTTTCGAATTTCAGTTCAGAGTGCCTTTATCACTTCAAACCGTAGCAAGCAAACTAACATTCTCCCGAGCCAAGAAACTCTCAGTTGATGTATTTTCAGCCTGTGTTTCTGACCTTTTGTACAATAGAATCACAGTAACTTATGAACAGACTTCTTGCCAGGTAAAAATAGTAGAGAGGGGGGGGGGGAGGGGGGAGGGGAAACAGTTACCGGTAACCCATTTTTCCATATTCCAAAATTGCCTTGCCATACAAAATGCAACGTACGGGGGGATTCTCCCCCAACTTCATTCCCGACAATCATGTCTTTGTGATCGGTGCCTGCAAGCATTTTCGTAATATATTATTACCTGAAAAGACACAAAAATCGGAAATGAGTAGGAGGGGGGGGGCAAACATTTCCCCAAGGAGTCGTCCAAAGAGAGTAGGGGCACGCTGCGCCCCCTTACCCCCATTCGGCTAGAACGCTGCGCCCCCTTACCCCCATTAGGGGCACGCTGCGCCCCCTTACCCCCATTAGGGGCACGCTGCGCCCCCTTACCCCCATTCGGGTAGAACGCTGCGCCCCCTTACCCCCATTAGGGGCACGCTGCGCCCCCTTACCCTCATTCGGCTAGAACGCTGCGCCCCCTTACCCCCATTAGGGGCACGCTGCGCCCCCTTACCCCCATTCGGCTAGAACCCTGAAACAAAAATGTTTTTACATGTTGTTGTTGCCTATCCGAGTTCAATGAAACTACTCGGATGCAGAGCTAGAAATAAGTTAATAACACTATTATTGCACTTTCTGACTGTTTATCATTGTTGCGGTGCGACTTGGTCCCGCAACTAACCATCGTCAGGCAGACCACAAAAACCCAGAAACTCCTTTAATCGACATTACCACTCGTTTCCAACAAGAACACCAAAGAACACACCGAACAACGATCGCCAAATCGCTGTCCTGGGCAAAACATGCAGCGTGCGTGCATTTGGCTTGCGCTGCATGCATGCACACAACGACGTGGCATAGAGAGAAAAATGCAGCGTACAGAAAATGCATGATCATCGTAGCCATAGAGATACTAAATATGGCGACTGCCAAAGTCCGCGTGCAGCGCGGACGAGTACGAGTGCATGCAACGAAAAGAAAAGCAATAATTTGAAATGCAGGACAAGCAGAAACTAATAATGACTTGCAATGTGCTGGAGTGAAAGAATAAAGAATTGTTGGTTACGGAGGTGAAAACAGTGTCTGTCAAGGGGTGCTTGCACCCAGCGACAGGGTGACAGCACACCCTGTCAGCGAGAGTAAGTTTCGCCAAGTAGATCGTAGCGGAGTTGCCGCGGATGGCGATAATGCAACGGATCAAGTACTAGTAAGTACATGTACATTGCAACCAATTAGTGTGTCAACAATTCTACTTATATAATACATTAGAACAATTCACAAGATATTCCGCTCGTGAACATGGCGTGGTACGAACACGCATAGCAATTACTGTGTCGTAAAATGCGTCTCGACGTAGACGTAACAGACATGCACTCGTGATGTAATTCTAACGGACTAACAAAATAATTAAAGAATAAAGAATTGTTGGTTACGGAGGTGAAAACAGTGTCTGTCAAGGGGTGCTTGCACCCAGCGACAGGGTGACAGCACACCCTGTCAGCGAGAGTAAGTTTCGCCAAGTAGATCGTAGCGGAGTTGCCGCGGATGGCGATAATGCAACGGATCAAGTACTAGTAAGTACATGTACATTGCAACCAATTAGTGTGTCAACAATTCTACTTATATAATACATTAGAACAATTCACAAGATATTCCGCTCGTGAACATGGCGTGGTACGAACACGCATAGCAATTACTGTGTCGTAAAATGCGTCTCGACGTAGACGTAACAGACATGCACTCGTGATGTAATTCTAACGGACTAACAAAATAATTATTACACTCGCGAAATGCATAGCAGTAATACGCACCGCACCAGTATTGCAAGCGACCTAGCATGTCTTGACAATACTGCCCTTGCAGCATGTGACAGTTCTGTACACAATTCGTAACTACAATACACTAATAGTATCAACGTGCAACATATGACAACATGAAAGGATAATGTTCAAGAGTGCAGTCTCCTGTCCAATCATCTTGTTGCAGTCGTGGATAGTTGCTGCATAACTTGTTCTCATATGTTTCTTCTCTTTTTTACGAGTTCAATTATGTTGTCTAACAGAGCAGGCGGACGCTGCGCCCCCTTACCAATACCACCCTTTGGCTGGAACCCTGAATCAATAATGTTTTTACATTATTTTTGTTATTGCCTACTAGTCTGAGTTCAATTTTGACAATGATATTTTGACGTTTCACTTACCAACCTGAACACCACGGCTGGTAGCGTGACAAGCAGCTGCTCCAGACCAGAACACATCCATAATGTCAGGCAACGATGACGCCTGTGACAACGGGCTTCAGGTTCCAACAAGCGAAACAACTAAACACTTTCTGTCACGCTCGCAGAAAAACACCGTCGCAACGGCGCCATGGAACAATTTCTAAACTTCACTTGCAGAGAAACAGGCACAAAAAGTTTACAACACGAACCCCGGCACTACACGCACGGTGGCTGTTTGCAAAGCCAGTCCGGCAGTGGACAGAGCATAACACTACATCATAATTATCGGCAAGCTCAACTGATGAGGGGTGAATTCACCTAGCCACTGTGAGCAAGGAGTGGTGCTTTCTTGCAGGTTTTCCGAGTGGAAGGTTCGAAGGGCTTCTTGTGTGCTCCATGGACCATGGCGCAGTCGTGAGTCAATCAAGTGTGAAGTCAGTCGGCAGGAAGCGCGAGCTCCGACGTTCGGAGCAGATACCTTCTTCACTAATTATTACCGCCGAAGTCGCAACATTAATTTTTATATCCGTATGTAGCTAATGAAAGGACTTTGGGTGTGAAATTCTGAGCTCGTTGAAGTTGATAACCGGCGTATTGATGAATATCATTCCTCACAACATACAACCTCAGGAGTATACAGGCTAACACAAACCCTGATTTGAAAGATACGGTAGGGCCGAAAGTCGTGTGTCGGACTGTGGGTGCGCTGTGCCAGCATAGCCCTGTCGCCTGCCTACTGAGAGGCTACATCGGTGCTGAAAATCATGCATGCGGTGTGCCAGCATAGCTCTGTCGCTTGCCTACTGAGAGGCTACATCGGTGCTGAAAATCATGCATGGCCTCGTGAGAGCCCTCCGTGCTAACTAAGGGTGCGTTCGAATTGTCACTCTTTCACCTTTCGACGAGGTTTCTGAACAGGTGGCTTATTGGCCTCTTCAGAAAACGACGGTTTAATCGAAACTTCTCCAAACTTCCACGGCACAAACTCATCCGATGCCGGGAGAGGCGGATTAGTTCCGAAGAGTTTGGATTCCCGCGGAGATAGTCCATCGGATGACCAACCGGAGCGGACGTCATTATTGCCATGACAATTCCATTGAAAAACTCCAGAATGATAGAAACCGTTCTATTGGGACATTATCTCTTTTTAAAAGAATTTGTTAGAACAGTCGATGAAGACAATTCGAACGCACCCTAACTAACACTTTACATCAGAATGATGTTGACTGCACAGTTTGTTATACAAGTCATGTACTTGAAAACTGCAATGCTGCTCAATAAAATCCAGTCGCTTCACTCAAGTACGCGCCGGGCGTCGCGCAGCCATAGATCTGGGAACACTGGGCTGCGGAATGATTATGATGCAAGGCGCAAACGAATTACTTGAGTGATGGGACCGGATTTCATTGAGCAGTACACCCTATTTTGCTGACACTGGCAACGAGATAATTCTGCAGTTTAATAAGGCACAATAACTGCATAGACCATGCGATCATGTGTGTATTATGTATGGAATAGTTATAAATAATCGTCTCAACAACTAATTACTTCAGACTATAATGTAGTACCCAAAGAAGAAATATAAAGCAGTGGGTGAAATATCAGTCCAGGAAGTCCTTTGCTATGTTAGGTAATCCTATACTCCATATGTACAACAATAGTAAATCGCACCAGGAGAGAGAGAGAGAGAGAGAGTGCGTGCAAGGAGGCGGAGCGTGAGCGTGCGTGCATACGTGTGTGTGAGTATGTATGTATGTATGCGTGTGTGTATGTATGTATGTGCAAGCATTAACTGTACAAAGATAGAGAAAGGAACAGGGCTGCGCGCATGAGTAGCTTTCAAATCAGTTGCGTGGAGAAGGCACAGCCTGCCCACCCAAATGGCAGCAATTATCTGCAAATACAAGAAAGGTGACAGGGAGAAAATTCCGCCGCAAGGGTATGTGTACCGTCAGGTTTGCTGGCAAGCTGGACTGCCGACTTGATGCAGAGCCAGTCATCTCCACACCTTTGGCGTTATAGACTAGAAGAAACTATTAAAAGGAAAGCATAGACGCTTGCGCCAAATTGAAAAAAAATCCAAGGCAGTAGTGACAAAAGTTCACAAAACAATGACAATGTAACATAAGGAATGAGTAGAGTTAGGAAAGACACGCAGGGTGTGTATTATAATATTATTACGATGTTAGCTGTGCTTGAGGGGAAAACGTGCATTGTTAGAGGTAGAGAATTGCATTCCTGTCAAGAGGTTTGACTGTGGATTCTCAGTGACTGAGGAAAAGCGACCAGCACCTGCTCTGCCGCTGGGAATTGTTCGAAAGAAGAGACGCTCAGGTCGCTGTGTGAAGGGATCTGGAATGAGGTAACGATTAACATTTTGGCAGAGAGTGAAAAGCAAATCCACGCTGCAATATCACTGTTGGTACATTCGTGGCGCTCTCGGTGACATAGCAAAGTCTTGATGACCGTTCCTGAGTGGTGTGGGACTAGCAGCTGGTGTGGGTTCATCGTGTAACGTAGCAGAGCGATACAAGCCGGCTGCAGAGTCCGGCCTCCAAGGAAGGGGTGGAGTATGTTCATGGAGTAGGTCAGAGGGAGTAGGATTGAGCGACGTGTTCATTCTACTGTTCCTAAGGGAAACCTGCGAATAGTGCTGTGGAGTAGACATTCTAGCAGTCCTTGTACCAACATGGAGAGGTTTAGTGTCCTGCAAACTAGTCGTCCTTGACATGACTGCAGAAGAAGATGGATAACCTGCTTGTTCAAAAGGTCTGGGACTGCAATGTTCTTGTGTTATCCGTGAACCATGAGAATGTCTCAATGAGCCATGCGTTGTGACAGTGCCTCGAGTGCCACTCCTGCCACCGGCATGCCGGGCAACAAGGGGACCGACAGGGCTTGGGTGCGATGCAAAGGAATTCGACTTAGGCATTGCAATGTCACACAAGTCATCCATTTCATCATGTTCCCAACCGACTGGAACGTCACTCGCGTGCATACGCCTTGGGTTTCCGTGTGATTTAGTACTCGATGAGCGCGAATCAAAATCAGCAGTGCCAGCGACCATTTCCTTTGCCGAGGCGCCCGACCAATGGTTAGATCGACAGCTCCCACCTACGCGACTGGGCCTCCCCTGTTCATGGATGCTACCGCACCAAGTACTCTCTGAGTGACGTGCAGATCCTTGTTGACTAAGATGTCTGCTCTGCCGTGTCGATCTATAGCTGCTAGAACCGAATCCTGTGTCCGCCGGTGGAAGATAATCCTCACCGCCAAAACTTGCGCTCAGATCATGGTAGCCCAATCCATCATCAATGTCGGCAGATTTGAAATACGACATGGTGCTCCTCATGTTGTCTATGCGCTGCTTTGACCTGCCAGTTGCCGGACCAGTGTCAGTGGAGCGCCAGCTCTTTGGCGAGTTGATGAGAGCAGTATCGGCTGCCTGCAGGCCATCAGCATTGTTGTGCAGCAGGTGCTTGACACCACGCAGTGCCTGGTAGTTACTGGAGTATAGCGACTGGTTGCGGGCTTCTAGGGATGAAGCAGGACGCGGAGGGGCTGCAGGTGGTGGCGACATGTGCTGTTCGCCCAGATGAGGAAGTGTAGCATCAGGCATACCCGGTATGACTACGTTATCCGACAGCATTGCTCGCCCTGGAGAATAGGAGGAGCGCAGTTGAGGTTTCGGTTTCTTGTGTCGGAGTTGGTGGATTCTAGCAAGCAAAGATGCGCCCAACAGAGACACTACCACACAGCCCAGTGTTCCGTACAAAAGCAGTGAGCCAAATCCAGTCCTAGCGTCTGCAGCACAGAACAATTTCAAGCACATTCAAAATAAATCATAAGTACAATAAGAAGGAGGTCAGGTGCATTCCTGGATCGGCAGGGGTTTGTAACAGTTTCACCCTGCTTCTGTCAATTATCACTCGTATCTTTCAGCTTACACATTCAAGCCTACGCTCGCACCACCTAGGCTGCACTACCGACATCAACAAGGTGAACACAGTGATTTCTACAAGTACAATCTAAGCGCATCAGCCCTTTATCACGGCTATCTTGCTCATGGATATTGTCGTTTGCTTGATTGCCAAGTAAATCGGCTGCAGAGTTCTACAAAAGAAGTAATGTATAAGAGCCCATTTTCGGCCGTAAATAACAGTTATTGCCGTAAGAATGCAGACACTGAGCCCAGAGCTTGAACCATAGTGCATACTTTTGCTATAGAAAACTCGTTCAATCACTTTCATTCATTCACACTATATTCGAAGGGTTCTCCAAACGTGAGTGGATACTTATCTGGGGGTGGGGGGTTCCTGGAAGGGTGCATGGGATGAAGGGGAAGTGAAAATGGGTCAAGGGTATAGACTTAGCAGAAGAAACTGCTAAAAAAACTACCGTGAAAAACCACCGGGGAGAAGCAGAATACATTGCAACAAGTAGGAGAACATGACGTGTCAATCGCTAGTACAACTACACATTTCTCTCTCCCTGCAAAGGTGCACAGACACGCTTTTATACAAGAAATTTAGTGTTCTGTGGTGGATGCGCCGCTGTCTCAGCATGCAAAGCCGCATCATGCATCATGCCCGATTTCTCATATGGCTCCAATGCCTTCTCAGCATTGTTGGCGGGTAAGCACCTGGACCGTCTCCAAGTTCTGCAGAATCGTGCGGCTCGAGCTGTGTATGGATGCTCGCCGCGTATTTCTGCCAGAAACCTGCTTGTATAACTCGGTGCCTACCGTGTCCGGGAGATCTTCATCCAGAAGCTCATCTTCCTGGTTTGGCGCTGCCGCTACTCCCGTGCTAGCCCTACACTGCAAGTGCTGTTGCTACCAACCAGTGGCGCTCCTACTCGGCTCCTGTCATCTATGGGTCCAAGACCACCACCAACCCGTACTGAGATGGGAAAGGGTTGTTTCGCGCGTTCCAAGGAGCTAGGCTCTGGAATGTGTTGCCACCAGCGAGCTACGGGCCATACCGCACCCGGCCCAATTTCGCACTGCTGCTGTTCCAAACAGTATGAACCTTCCAGGTCAGACGGATCACTATCGCCATATTTTCATTATAATTATGCCTGTTTGTTAGCCTGCCTGCCTGTCTATCTCCCTGTTTCTCTGACAACCTGCTTGTTACTTTGTGTGCGTGTTTTCAGGTGTAAAACCCTGTTGTAGAAGTCTCAGCCCTCATTTCTTAGACATTATAAGATTTAGTGTAACCCTCTCTCTCTATTTCTCTCTCTCTCACTATCTCTCTCTCTCTCTCTCTCTCTCTCTCTCTCTCTCTCTCTCTCTCTCTCTCTCTCTCTCTCTCTCTCTCTCTCTCTCTCTCTCTCTCTCTCTCTCTCTCTCGTCCTCTCTCTGTTTTTGGTGCACACAACATCCCTGGCGTTGATCGCTTTCTTCAAAGTTTCTTGCTTAGACTTCTGCTGCGCCTTTGTTCTCGTACTCTCCTCTATGTACTAGTGTTGTGCAAACCCTCCTTCTAGTCTGTCTCATTTTGCCCCGAGATGTGTTGGTGCATAGGATTATGACTCTCATCATTCGCTTCCTTGTCACTGGACAGTTCTGTCCGTTTGGTTTTAGCGAATTCAAATAAAGAAAACAACAACAACAACAACAACAACAACAACAACAACAACAACAACAACAACAACAACAACAACAACAACAACAACACACACACACACATAGCTGTATGTATGCAAGCATGCACGCCGAGGCACGCACCGCTTCCACCACAAACGACATCATGCCTCATGAACGTTACCTGGCGTAATGAAGAGAGTGAAGTTCCTCAAGACCACACCATTGCCGAGTGCGCAAGTGTATAGTCCAGCATGCCATGATGATACGTGACGGATGTTTGCCGTAGATGTCTTGTGCGTACTGCCATTCTAATAGTAAAAGACATAATCAGACCAACATCCAAAATAAGTGCTTCTCATTGAAGGAAGCTTGGTGGACGAGTCGATTGCACTGCCGGTACAAAGACTTGGCAATGGTCCTTATGCACGTTGTACAGATGTACGAAGTTCTGTGCTAGGGCCATAGGTGTGTACAGACCCGGTTGGGTGTTCATTGTGTGCTATACATTGTCATTTTGATTTTTGGATTTTGATCAATTTAGCCTCATACTTCATGGTAAACGATTGCTTGTCCAGCTGCCTCACTTTGGGATTGAACTAATGACAGGCTAGATCCTTGCCGGAATTTTCAATGTTCACGGCAGTGTAACTCCCAGCTCAGTGTAGTCGTATACTGAGGGCTTGCTGTCTCATGTGCACCACCATGAAAATAAACCCAGGCTTGCAAGCGGAACTACTATCTGGTATTCTCCATTAGGCTTGTTGATTGGGCGAGGATTTCTTCTTGGTCACTGCACCAGGATTTTCCTTTTCTGATCTTGTTTTTCGCCTTTTACAAGAAAGGAGTGCAAACAAGTTTTACCATTCCCGAAAGTGTTTAACCATTTCGTGTGAGATTCTGGAAATGAAGTAAATACAGGACCCACCGACTCAATTCTACGGCACGGCGGCCGGTATACAGAAAAGCCACGGGTCAGTGGATTGAAGCGCACATTTTGATAAGCTAGACCTAGTACAGTCGTCCCTCTCTAATCCAGCACTTTATAAACCAGCACCCTGGATAAACCAGCACAATTTTCAGTAGCCAAAATGTCCTTTTCATGCACATTGCAGCAGTAAATCATATTCGTTAATCCAGCACCCTCCCTAATCCAGCAGATTTCCGTGGCACAAACGGTGCCGGATTATAGAGGGACCACTGTACTACTACTCAAGCTTAACTCATGAGAGGTGAATTCCCCGAAACACTGTGTATTGAGCAGGGAGTGATGCTTTCCTGCAGGTTTGCCGAGTGGAAGCATGGCCAGCAATCGAGGACATCTGAGAGTTGTAATTTTTGTGCTCCTCCGAGGTGTGATTTTTGGCGTGCTGGGCCAAGCACAAGGAAGCCATCTGCAAAAAAACTGCAGAAAATGGTTGTTGTTTGATCCTTTGGTGTAATCTTTGTTTCTAGTCGAAGCTAGTTGCTGTTTGGAGCAGAAACGCTGAAATTGACTATTTTCTGCATGTACTCATACATGTACTCATGTACTCAGGCATGCAGTCTTACTCGTATTTTAGCTCTTTTTCTGAAATGGATGCTGCTCTGCGCCCCTTGGTGAACATTTCCTGCGCTCGTGGAGCAGCTGAAAAGGACCACTGGTATGTCTAGTTCCTGGTTTGAAAGTGGAGAGTCGACTTTTGTGCCTTGAAAAAGGAGTAGAGAGCGATAAAGGTACGTCTGTGGCTTATTTTTGAGTGCTCCTCGTACATTTTTGATCGTGATAGAAATTCTCAGACCAAAGTCAGACCAAAGTCAGCGCGATGATGGCCGTACAGTTTTCTTGTGGATTTTTTAGTTGTTTCATCTCGTATCTATGTCAGTATCGTGATGGTGAAGTGGAGAGGGTGATTTTCTTCCTCTAGGCTTCGTTCGGCCGACTTTGCTTCGTCCTCGTTGAAAAGTGATCCTGAAAAAAAGGTCGATTCGCAAAATTATGTTGATTTTGAATGTACGTGATGACATACGATTGCTGGCTATGGGTTCGATGGACTGCTCGTGTGCTCTGGATGACAGTCATGAGTCAGTCAAGTGAGAATTCAAGATGGCAGGAAAAGCACGAGCTCCCACATAGGAAGCAACATGCAATTCCCCAAGTATCGCCGAAGTCTCATCAACCTCTTCTGGACATGGTACGTGACCAATTTACTAGGACATTGAGAAAGCATATACATTCACTTCCCACATCCATTCATGTTCATCTAGAGAAAGTATCTTCTCTAGGTTCAAGCCAAAGAAGAATAGGAGTGCCCTCCTAAATTCTCCAGGAGAAAACCTCCTGCAAGGAGGTTTGCGACCACTACTATATAAAGTGGAAGTGTCACTCTTCGCCTTTTTGAGGACTCTCGTTTCTCTGACCAGGTGGCTTATTGGCTTTTTCTGAAAAAATATCTCCTCGAAATCCACAACCTGATCATAAGGTAAGGGTAGATGAGTTGACAAGACCTAGAAATATCCCTGTAAAAACAATTGTTCGCATGCACTTCCCGTAGAAGCTACGACAAAACCTACCCATACGGTATGGCAGGCACATTCATCAAGTGGGCGTACGCTTAGAAAGTTTCATTGCAATGACGAGTCCATGGACAGCCACGGTTTTTTCGGAATACTTTAACCCGTCGAGGGCCAGTATGAAATTCTGGGGTGGGCTGTTCCTTGCCAACTCGGCACCCATTTAAACAAGGAGGGTACTACTAGTAGTACACACGTACTCACGCACGCACACACGTACGCACACACACACACGCACACACACACACACACACACACACACACACACACACACACACACACACACACACACACACATAGACACACACACACACGTACACACACACACACACACACACACATATGCACGCACATACGCATGCACACACGGGCATACACACGCAACCACGCTCACACACATGCACAGCATTGCGCTGCCCTGGCATCAAGATGATTATTCGGCAAGGGAGTAAGTCATCTCCACTGCACTAACCTTGGTGGAGATGAGAAAACTCCTGCCAGAACTGACACTCCGTGGCGTCCTCCACACAATGCTGCCATTGAGTGTGACATAGCAGATGAGCTGAACAGAGCTGCCGAGAGCAGCATGCAGTACTGTGTTGTTTGGCTGTTGCACGGTTGTGCCAGGCAAGTCTGCTCTAGATCCACTTTCATCCTCGCCGCCTGCATGGGGGAAGAGGAAAGTGGCAGCGGAATGTATCGATCCAGGTAGAGAAACGCGTACAGATCAAAAGGAATGGAGACACACACAGGCAGAAGACGGACATGCAGCCCAACAGACAAACAGTCAGAAATGGAAACCAAATTGTAGCATTTTAGACACGCACAGCACCTTGCTAATGGTCTCTTGTCACTGGCTAGTGAAACAGCTCTTATTACGGGCTACACACTAAATATGAGAACCGGGAATCGTATCCACTTCGGACATAGTAACAAATACTTTTGAAAAATAGACATTAGATAAATCTCATTCTGAACGGGCACTATTGCAACTCACCATCTGCTGTTTCTTGACAGACGACCAGCGTGACTAGCCCACAGCTAATGAGCCAGGTCAAGATTATGGCTGGAAATAGAATAGACTGCATGTGGAGAAAACAGAGCAGCATAAACCAACCTCAACACAAGCAAGCACTGGTTCGATCCTGTACAGATAGATTCAACATGCATTTTGCGGCACCAAATTTTCGTACCTCGCTTCACGCTTTCACTGGCGCTCTCTGTGACACAATTGTATTGCGGTCACACGCACACACACACACACATGCATGCACGCATACCACACACACACACACACACACACACACACACACACACGCACGCACGCACACACACATGCACGCACACACTTCCACTTGCACATGCACATCTCTGAAGTGATGATAGCGAACAAGGTGTGTTAGACATAGCAACTTGTGCTGGGATTACACCATTCAACAGCTTACAAGGCTGATGAATTGACCACCACTGAAATAAAATAAAATGTTTAGCCTGGTCTACACAACACAGCTGATTGAAGGTTCTTTTCTGGCCAGTGAATCCATTTTTTTCCATTTTTCATGCACACACACACACACAAAACAGCAGTGCGGGCACGAGCAATACAAGGCCGGAGAGTACCCTGTCAGACATGGTCAACATGGTGAACACTGATTGCTAGTGTACTGGTATGCGTGTAGTGGTCAAAGAAGGCAAGAACGCAACTAACCACCGTCCTGCTCCTACAGGGCGATGCACTAGTTTTCCGTGACCTGCTCAGCACCTCGCGTCTGCTAGTTAGCTATGGATCTTGACCTGATACCCGTGCAGCTAAGAGACGCGAAATACAGCATATCACTATGCCACGGGGACAAGCACTGAGAACTTGTTTCCTGCTTTCAGCTTCCTACGTGATGAGATTCCTTGGTGGATATGAACCACACTCGCACTGCTACGATAGGTTGGACTTGCGAGCTACATGGACCGGCTCGCCATGGGAATATAGAATGACTTCAGGGGGTGGGTTAGCGGAACAGCTAATGTGCGCTCAGTAGACGGGGTGAGTCAGCGGATTCTCTTACGGGCGTTAAGTATGGAGGGTGAGTCGCTAGTGCTATGCAGCGTTATGCCACCACTTTGCCAAAGCACCTCAGCTGGTGATGTAATCATAAAACCTCTATTGCTTTTCTTCTCGAAAACCTAGTTTACCCAAATACACCATTGCTGCTCTTGCAACCTTGCCCGCAGCGGTCCATACCCTAGATTGGCTAGGGCACCCCATAAGACTAAAATGACAAATCACTGTGCCTCATTTCGAGACAATTTACTGGGCCGGCATCACACTATGTACTCCAGAAAACAAATTGTCCAGAGTCAACACTTTTGGCGTCCTTTCCATGCATTCCTCGACAGGTTCGCTATAGCACATGTCATCCTTATCCAATAAACATACTTCAAGTAAAACATACTGGTTCTTGATAATAAATGTGCTGAGCTTGCATGTGTTAGCTTCCCACGCTCCCGCATGGCACCTTATGTTCCGTTGGCCTGGGTAGCTGCTTAGACACTCATACGTGTATATGCCATAGCTAACCAGGTCTTTTACCAAGCTCTCTCTCTCTCTCTCTCTCTCTCTCTCTCTCTCTCTCTCTCTCTCTCTCTCTCTCTCTCTCTCTCTCTCTCTCTCTCTCTCTCTCTCTCTCTCTCTCTCTCTCTCTGACACGCAGACAGACAGACAGACAGGCAGACAGGCAGACAGACAGACAGACAGACAGACAGATAGACAGACAGACAGACAGACAGACAGACAGACAGATACACACACGCACACTCTCTCCCTCTCTATCTATCAAAATCGTCGCCCCCAACCTACATCGTTCTTGGGTTGCTGTGAAAGTTGAGCAATGGGAGTCAGAGGACTCAAAATTGGTGCCCAACTTGTGGCTCCAACCCATGAACCATAGTCTCATGCACTACTGACTGAGCTAGCCAGGCTAAATAGCAGCTATCCAGGCCAACGGAACATAAGGCACCATACGGGAACGCTGAAAGCCATTATGTATGGGGTGCGGGGGAACGGATGTGCGGGGAAACAATGTTCGGGAGATGAGGAGCTATCAGTAGTATGCAGCTGGCCTTACTTGAGTTACAACGTGCTCAGTGTGACACATGAAGTGATAATTATTCTCTTTAAAAAAATCGACGTACATGTAGTCTGCTAAGAGATTGTCACAATTCTTACCATGTGTTTGTTCATGTGTGTGTGTGGCGGGGGGGGGGGGGGGGGGGAGTAGAGGTACCGGTATGAGGAGGAATTTCAAATTTTCGTTCCGAAAAAGGCGTTGGTAATTGGGAGGGCTCCTAAAAAGTAATTAGCTACTTGACCTGACAGAAATCTGGGAACTGTGCAGAATTACTTCGATCTCTATTCTGTGATGGAAGGAATACGATTCCAGTGAGATCGGCATTCGACTATATGCAGTGCTCCGCTTGTTTGCCTCGGAGCACTCTAGAACGTGGTCACGCCACTTTACCATACATGTACACTGTCATGATTAGCACTCGGTATTGTACACAAATGACAAGGAACAGCGGAGTCGGCAGACGCCCGTACATGTTTCCTTCTTCCATTGGCAGTCAAACACGGTGTCCCTTAGTACATGCACATGAAGGTAGCACATGATTCTATGATTTGAACAACTGTTAGCATAAACCAGTAAGGTACGCGGACAAACAGTGACAACGCAAGACAAAGTTATGCGTTGATCCTTGGCGTCCACGCGAGCGGGACGGAAAGTACGCTTACCATGATAGAGCCTCCTGCGCCGACATTTCGCATGAAATGAAGCTCGAATCCCTGAGGACTCCTGTTTCAGCAACTCCGTAATCCGCGCGTCCCCAGGAGATCGGCTCTAGACTGTCAGCCAACTGATAGATTTCTTCGATAACTCTTTTTGTACAACGAAGAAAGTAGTTGTACAATTCTCAAATGCCACACCTTCCCCACTACTTGCTATAGCGATTCTAGAGCAATTAATTGCTTCCCTGTTACAGCTCTTTCCAACAGCAATCTCAAAAAGAAGATAACACCGGTTGTAATGTTGGATCGTGGAATAAGAAGTCGAAAGAAAAACAATTCGATTGATCGAACTCACCACGCAAGCAGAGCCGCATACAGGACCAGGTTAACCGGCCGGATCATGGATCATGCAGTCATCAAAATAATCGTCTGCTGCTTGTTTGTCAGATCATGTGGATCAATCAGTTCAGTACTGCGTAGCTGTAGTGTAGATCTACGTGTAGATGGGTCTACGACGAGTAGTGAAGAACATGTGCGCGCCGCGCCGCCTGTACTTTTGACCCCGGCGACAAATATGGCCTCAGGCTCAGGGTCAGCTCAAGAGTCAAGAGTCAAGTGTTTTGCATCATTCGTTTGAGTCAACACAGCACTGTCAACCATGGTCAACGTGCAACAGGGCCAGGGAGGGAGAAGCGGATCCGCAGCACATAATGGTGGTTTTCTACTGTCCTGGTCAAAGAAATCCGACCTCATGGATTGATAGCACCAAAGGCTACACAGTCCCAGCACCAAACACACAACTCTGCGCACTTGAGCGCGGCGCCACTTTAGTGATGAGGTCGGATTTCTCTGGCTAGTAACTGGTCGAAACTGCGTCGACACTGAGCCAGGCATACTTCGGCGAATTGCTTCTTCAGCGAATAGTGTATTAAGCCCCATCCCTCACACAAACAAGTCAACAAAGAGGCATCTTTGGATTGAGGAGTGCTGGTTTCGAAACAACTGGTTTGAAGCTCAAAGTAGAGCTGCTGTTACTGAGCTCAGAGCAGAGCTGCTGTTAGCTCAGAGCAGAGCTGCTGTTAGCTCATAGCAGAGCTGCTGTTAGCTCATAGCAGAGCTGCTGTTAGCTCAGAGCAGAGCAGGTGTTAGCTCAAAGTAGAGCTGCGGTTAGCTCAAAGTAGAGCTGCTGTTAGCTCAAAGTAGAGCTGCGATTAGCTCAAAGTAGAGCTGCTGTTAGTTCAAAGTAGAGCTGCTGTTAGCTCAAAGTAGAGCCGCTGTTAGCTCAAGGTAGAGCTGCTGTTAGCTCAAAGTAGAGCTGCTGTTAGCTCAAGGTAGAGCTGCTGTTAGCTCAAAGTAGAGCTGCTGTTAGCTCAAAGTAGAGCTTCTGTTAGCTCAACGTAGAGCTGCAATGCTAAATGGACTTAATATAGCACAAGGCAGAGCCGCAGCAAATAGCTAAATAACACCAGTTGTGAGAGTGGACCCTATTAGTGGGTACGATAATTATAATGATGGTGTGAATAAGTCCATGATTGAGAAACGAGAGGTACCAGGTTCAAGTCCTGCTTGGAAGCGGAAGGATTTTTCCCACAGTCACTGCGACCCACAGTTAATTGGGAGCTCGTGGCCTGGCATGAGTAAAACATGGATGTGGCAAATGGGATTTAGGCCTTGGCCTCTGGTTGGTGGATCTGATCTATCCTCCCCCACCGTTTAGGAGCCGCATCTGACGCCTGATCATGGGGTGGTGGCGTCCCACGGAAGCGGAAAGGTGGTTCTTGACCAGGGAGTTGTACGACTCCTTGTTCTTGACCTGCCCGTTACGCGAACCCGTCGAATTTTTTTTGGGAATATTATTAAAGTTGGATAGGGAGGGATGGTGGGGAAAGAAACCGTGACTGCTGAAGCACGATCCGTTGTCTGGAAGAGCACAACAGGGCAAGCAGGATTTGTTTTTCTTTTCAGCAAAACGGGCTGGTGCCATTTGTAATAAGTACTTCGTCTAATTCATGTCTAAGAGGCAGCTGGTGCCAACGTTGGAACATCATCATGTAGAGTTATTGGCATGCAATTAGGCAAGTGATGGTTGCACGTCCGAACTCTATTACATGAAGTGACTGAGTGCTGTTGTTGTGGTACAGCACTGTAATAATATTGTCGTCTTGAAAGTGCTGTCCATGTGTTAAAAGCTGCAGTGTGTCCCAGCATCTCTAGCCCGTCAGGAGTGCTGGTCAAGAGAAACCGACAATGTCCGGCCAAGGGCCACCAGTGCACTACGAGTGTCATTGGATGAGGATGCCCCCCCCCCCTCTACAATTGTACATGTTACCCTCTACAGCCATGATTCCTCCTCGCCTCAGTGCCGCTTTTGAGCCCGTTACTCGCAGGCAATATCGACAAACCGCTGGTCACGCATACCAAAATAATTCAAGTGCTAACACCCTCCCCTCAGCATCATTGGCACCTCGAACACTCTCCCGGCTTAACTATTCACCAAACCGCCATCCCTCCAGAGCCTCCAAGCTTTTAACTCAAATCTGCACCACTATCTAGCCATAGGCTTCGGGCCACTGACTCTCTCTCTCTCTTATCTCTCTCTCTCTCTCTCTCTCTCTCTCTCTCTCTCTCTCTCTCTCTCTCTCTCTCTCTCTCTCTCTCTCTCTCTCTCCTCTCTCTCTCTCTCTCTCTCTCTCTCTCTCTCTCTCTCTCTCTCTCTCTCTCTCTCTCTCTCTCTCTCTCTCTCTCTCTCTCTCTCTCTCTCTCTCTCTCTCTCCCTCTCTCTCTTCTCTCTCTCTCTCTCTCTCTCTCTCTCTCTCTCTCTCTCTCTCTCTCTCTCTCTCTCTCTCTCTCTCTCTCTCTCTCTCTCTCTCTCTCTCTCTCTCTCTCTCTCTCTCTCTCTCTCTCTCTCTCTCTCTCTCTCTCTGCCTCTCTCTCTCTCTCTCTCTCTCTCTCTCTCTCTCTCTCTCTCTCTCTCTCTCTCTCTGCCTCTCTGCCTCTCTCTCTCTCTGCCTCTCTGCCTCTCTCGTGGACCAATATCAAGATCCATGATGCTCGCCTACAGTACTACCATTTATGTGTTCCTGCCTGCCCTCCACCGCGGCTGATCATCCCTACATCTTTTGCACTCCCATCCTCACCTTTCACAATATTAGCCCCCACTAGCTCCATTCTGTCTTCTCTCTTTTCACAGTAATTCTCTTTCCATTTTGTCTTTTCTCGTCTTCCTATAAACTCTCAGTCATGGTGCGACACCTCGCGGTACCGCCAGAGACCACAGATCAGCGTTGTGGCTTGCCTCACCACCAAATTAGCTACTTCTGGGAGCTCCTACTCTTCCCATTGTTGTGTTGTCCTGCGTTGTGGGTATATACACGTAAACCAGTATCCTGCTACTTCTCTCCACCCCCCCCCCCTCCCCTCTTATGAGTAGGTTGTGTCAGGTTTTTGTTGTTTTTTATTTGAATTCGCGATACCAAACGGGCAATAAGCCCAATTACATGGAAGCGAATAAAAGAATGCTAAGAATGAGGCATTGGGGTGGATGTTATTTCAAGTGGAAAATACTGATCCCGGGAGGTACTACAAATAGGTACAATGAAAATCTGAAAAGGCCATGGTACTGTCGTTTGCCATGCTGGAAGCAGCTACATGGAGAAGGAAAAACAACAAGAAAGACGTTATATCTCATGTATTGGACAAACAGAGCTAACAGGAAAAGACCGTTCGTTATATGCCTATACGTACTGTCCGTGTGTGTGTGTGGGGGGGGGGGGGGTGTAGGTGGTGACGTCGATAAAACAATTCAAGTACCGGTATTGAAAACGCTTCCCGTCATGCATTTTCTGGTACAGGTAGTAGAGCATGATGATTGTCGCCTAGTAATAATAATTATTTAGTTAGCCAGTGTCACCATGGTCACTGTGGAAACAGCATAGTCTGGGCTGCATTTCGAGCTCTAGGTACCTCTAGAGTCTAGGCTTCGGAGGACGGTAAATTCACCATGCGGGGGGAGTCGAACCCAGAATTCTATTTTCCTTCAGCTTCCTTCAGCTTCCAGTTGTGCTGGTTTCAGCCCTATCCTACGCTGTACCTGCAAAATCTCTCTGATGGCGGAGTCCAGCTTTGTTCTCTACTGGAGTCTGATCTATAGATAAGATTCCTGAGCTGACTTCAAGGATCATAATGTAGTTAGTATGTGACGTTACATCCCGACCCAAGGCACATTCCGCCAGGGCTGTCGTGATACATGTAATAATAACTTTACAGTGAGTGACTGACGACCACGGTATTCGGCCGCATGGCAATTGTGCAGAGTACCATGGTCCGTAGTTCACCAAATCAGCCTGCTATGTAGCATACATCGTGTACATTGTCATTCAATGATTGCTGAACTCCAGGACAGGATAGAGGGAACCAATCTCAAGTGGCTCAGGTGTCTCTTTGCCTTTCATCCATCTATACTTCTCACTACTCGGAGTGAGGGTAACATGGATGCAGCTAACGAGGTTCGCCCCTTTGTCGGGCATTGTTTGTGAGAGTTACCACCTCACCCTCGCCGTTAGGTACTGCATCTGCCACCCTGGTATTACAGGCATGGTGGTGGCCTGGCACAAGCGAAACTTCCTAAGCTGGTTGTGTTTCTCAACGCATGGCCAGTGGTAACGCGGACGTGCATTTAAAAAAAAATTCAATAGCTCCTTTTAATACTCCCAAAAATAAACACCCGTGCACATTCTCTCATGGCGAAAATCTCTGTATTTGTTTTTCGGTGAATTTTTTTCTCACACGACTCCTCTTTATGTATCCAAGAACTGCTTTCAAAACAGCTCATCAAAAGTATTCTCGACCCACAATATTGTAAATGTGTTCTGCACACGAGAACTGGAATAGCGTTCTTTCATCGGGATGATGAAATCTTCACTGGCTGGGGTGGGGGGAGAGGGTCTGCAATCAGTAGGGTGGTAAAGTGAGAAAGAAGCCAACATGCGATAGTATCTCAAAAATGCCTCTGGCTTATCTGCCCAAAATTAAAAGGAAGATTTCAAAACACAATACTCGATCCAAATGAATAGTTGACAGGTACTTCGTACTAGCATCCAAGAAAGTTTTTACACAGTGATCAGTGGACGGTTCATGAGAATGTATCGATGGACAAATATTGGTTAGACGCCAGTGTGTCGATTTGGCTAGCTGTGTTATCCGCAGACTGGCGTCTGGCGTGTGTGTACGCATAGTCGTATGCATGCGCGCCGTCCGAAACTTCCAGATACATCGCCGGCTGTCGCGGAACTACCGAAGGCAGTGTTGGGGGCAGCGGCATGTCAATGGTGTAGGCCACATTTGCGGTCATGTCGATTTCTTCAGACGGCGGCGGTGGTGGTGGGGGCAGTGGCCGTGGTGAGAGTGGCACTGGTGGAGAAGCGACGTTGATCTCAGTGATGCCATCAGCAGTTGGAGCACGCGTCCGTAATGCTGGTCTGGGTGTGGATACAGCCGGCATCATTGCCACATCAACTGTCTCGCTTTCTCTGGTCCGCAGCGAGTCGAGAGATTCATACCTGTGGCCGGTGTCGACATCGGAGCGGATGGTTTTGCTTCCATGGCTGTGCTGCAAAGCTGGAGCTGCATGTGCGGGGAGGTCGGAATCGCCCTCGGCACAATTACGCATGGTGCCTTGAGGTACATCAGTGGCATCCTCATAGTCCACTACACTGCTTGTGGTGGACTTATCATGCTCAGCCGTTGACGGACCAATAATCTCCAGGTAGGTAGTACTCGGTCCTGTAGGTTTGGACTGCAGGAAATCCGACACCGGCTGCAGATAGTCGGAACTATCGTTGTCAACATTTGGCTCAATGTAATCCACCTGACCATCCACAGCTGTCTGAAGGTATTCTATTGATCGACGTCGCACGTCAACTGCTTGATCATACAGAGCTGCATCGCCAGAGTTCATGCCAGCCAATGGCTGAAGACTGCCACTGATGACATCATCACCAGTCGTACTAACCCCTACTCCAAGGGCAGATGATACAGACTTGTTGGCTATGATTACATCATCATCATCATCATCATCATCATTGTCGTCGTACACTGATCTAGCGTACACGTGACCGGGTGCAAGTGGTTTACTGCCCCCAGCGGCGATGCCGAACGACGTATCTATCACGCTGCCCACAACGCTGTCAGGAATGCACGTATCGGTCGTTAGAGCAGATGACGTGGAAGACGGGTGTGGTCTGGTCTTGTGTATTTGAACACTTCCTCGGCGGTGTCGACCACGTCGCACTCTACAGCAGCACACCAGTAACAGCAACACCAGGATCATACCAACGCCAGCGCTGGCTGCAATGATGACGGTAGGGTCGTTAGAGGTATTGTCCACTTCCTCACATCCACCCTGAGCACTGGTGTCCACATCATCGGGGCTATTGCTGCAGGAGACTTTAACAGTGGTGGTCATAGTAGCTGTTGGTATAGGCATACAGTTGAAGCCATCACTTGTGTATGGTGGCAAGCAGAGGCAGGTGAAGGCTGAGAATGTGTTTACGCAAAGTGCCTTCTGCGAACAGTTATGCAGCGTGGCATCGGAGCATTCGTCGATATCCGAGCAAATAAAACCGTCACCTGTAAGACCGGGAGGGCACACACAGCATGGCATGCTGCCATCGGCATGGCACTGTGCGTGTGCGCTACACAGCATGGAGGTAGAGCACACGGTGCACACGCTACCGTCGCCGACCATGGTTGCCCGGCACTCGCAAAGCTCCCCGTTGCCGTGACGAATGCACTGTGATTGGACGTCGCCGCACCTGACGGGCGCGCTGCCATTGCCACTGTCGAGACAGCTCCGCCTCTGGCAGGTATTGTTGACCAGTCGATACTGGACTCCGCACTCGCAGCGTACGTTCGACTCGCTCACAAACGTGCAATGCGCTTTCGGATCGCACGCCAACGGGTGCGCGGAGCAGCTCGCGCAGTGCGTACCGTTGCCGGAGAATCCCGACTGGCAGTTGCACGTGAACTGGCCATCGGTGATGTCGCATGCAGCACTGCGGTGGCAGAACGGCTGGAGTTGGCTGCATGCCGAGTTGTGATAGCACCCATCACCCTCCTTGGTTACGCTACACTGGCAGGTGAAGCCGCCAACGTGATTCACACACGTGGCTCTGGAGATGCAGGGATCGGCCGAACACTCGTCGACATCCAAGCATAGAACTCCGCTACCCGTATACCCAGCCGAGCATGTGCAGTCAAAGCCGCCGGGCATGGTCTCGAGACACTCGCCTCCGCTCAAGGAGCAGTTATGCAAGCCCAACGCGCACTCTGCAATGTCCTGGCATACCGTGGTACCATTGCTTGCATAGCCGTGCATGCACACACACTGGAAACTGCCCACCGTGTTCACGCACTGGCGCTTGTGACTGCGCCGACAGTCGTGCGTTGTCGTGCCCGCACACTCGTCAATGTCCACACACTCACGCACGGCGTCCTCGCGGAATCCCGCCGCGCACACGCACTCGAAGCTGCCGTTGGTGTTACGGCACTCGCGCGCCTCGCTCGTGTTGCAGGTGCTCGCGCTGCTGCCGCCCATCATCAGCTCACACTCGTCCACATCTTCGCAGAGGCGGCCATCACCGCCGGCAGCATTTCCAGTGTACCCGCGTGCACACGCACACACGTACGAGCCGTCCGTGTTGGCACAGACGGCGCTCGGCGGTGCACAGCCGTGGCTGCCCGTGGAGCACTCGTCTATATCGTCGGTGCACAGCAAGCCCTGATAGCCGACGTCTCGACACGGGCACGCGAAGAAGCCGCTGGTGTCCGTGCATGCTTGCTCCGCTGTGCAGTTGTGAAGGCCCTGTGCACATTCGTCTGTATTCACGCATTCCACACCACCACCACCACCACCACCACCACCACCACCACCGCTGCCACTACTGTTGTACCCTGGCAAGCAGTTGCACTCCGCACCGCCTAACACGTCCTGGCACTGAGCCTTGGGTGATGTGCAGAAACCACCAGGTCGAAGACACTCATTCTCATCTGCAAGCACAAAGAAATGAAAGCGGCCTTCCACGGTTACCAGCTGTTCTCTGTACCTTACTTTGGTTGGTTGGTTTGATGTATTTAAAGTCGTACAACAAACAGGCATATCTGCCACCTTATATGAAGACGACTTCTGGCAGTGAAACATTTTTATTTAAAGAGAAAAGAAAAAAAGAAAAGAAAAGATAAGATCAAGAATGTATCATAGTAGACTGAGCATACAGCTAGCCGGAGACTGAGCAAACAGCTAGCCGGAGACTGAGCAAACAGCTAGCCGGAGACTGAGCAAACAGCTAGCCTCCGCATTTTTTTACCTCAGGGGTGTCAGAAGGTATCTTAGTGTGGTGCAGTCAGCCATCTGAAGTACAACTTACTCGCTGGAGAGGGGCGGCTGAGCTGAACGTTTTGGGAATTATGCCCAAATCAGTGTACAGTACCACCTGTGGCTAACGACCACCACCCCTTGGGGCCAGAGACCACCACCCCTTGGGGCCAGAGACCACCACCCCTTGGGGCCAGAGACCACCACCCCTTGGGGCCAGAGACCACCACCCCTTGGGGCCAGGGACCACCACCCCTTGGGGCCAGAGACCACCACCCCTTGGGGCCAGAGACCACCACCCCTTGGGGCCAGAGACCACCACCCCTTGGGGCCAGAGACCACCACCCCTTGGGGCCAGAGACCACCACCCCTTGGGGCCAGAGACCACCACCCCTTGGGGCCAGAGACCACCACCCCTTGGGGCCAGAGACCACCACCCCTTGGGGCCAGAGACCACCACCCCTTGGGGCCAGAGACCACCACCCCTTGGGGCCAGAGACCACCACCCCTTGGGTCCAGAGACCACCACCCCTTACGCCAGAGACCACCACCCCTTGGGGCCAGAGACCACCACCCCTTGGGGCCAGAGACCACCACCCCTTGGGGCCAGAGACCACCACCCCTTGGGTCCAGAGACCACCACCCCTTGGGTCCAGAGACCACCACCCCTTGGGGCCAGAGACCACCACCCCTTGGGTCCAGAGACCACCACCCCTTGGGTCCAGAGACCACCACCCCTTGGGTCCAGAGACCACCACCCCTTGGGGCCAGAGACCACCACCCCTTGGGGCCAGAGACCACCACCCCTTGGGGCCAGGGACCACCACCCCTTGGGGCCAGAGACCACCACCCCTTGGGGCCAGAGACCACCACCCCTTGGGGCCAGAGACCACCACCCCTTGGGGCCAGAGACCACCACCCCTTGGGGCCAGAGACCACCACCCCTTGGGGCCAGAGACCACCACCCCTTGGGGCCAGAGACCACCACCCCTTGAGGCCAGAGACCACCACCCCTTGGGGCCAGAGACCACCACCCCTTGGGGGCCAGAGAGCACCACCCCTTGGGGCCAGAGACCACCACCCCTTGGGGCCAGAGACCACCACCCCTTGGGGCCAGAGACCACCACCCCTTGGGGCCAGAGACCACCACCCCTTGGGGCCAGAGACCACCACCCCTTGGGGCCAGAGACCACCACCCCTTGGGGCCAGAGACCACCACCCCTTGGGGCCAGAGACCACCACCCCTTGGGGCCAGAGACCACCACCCCTTGGGGCCAGAGACCACCACCCCTTGGGGCCAGAGACCACCACCCCTTGGGGCCAGAGACCACCACCCCTTGGGGCCAGAGACCACCACCCCTTGGGGTCAGAGACCACCACCCCTTGGGTCCAGAGACCACCACCCCTTGGGGCCAGAGACCACCACCCCTTGGGTCCAGAGACCACCACCCCTTGGGGCCAGAGACCACCACCCCTCGGGGCCAGAGACCACCACCCCTTGGGGCCAGAGACCACCACCCCTTGGGGCCAGAGACCACCACCCCTTGGGGCCAGAGACCACCACCCCTTGGGGCCAGAGACCACCACCCCTTGGGGCCAGAGACCACCACCCCTTGGGGCCAGAGACCACCACCCGTTGGGGCCAGAGACCACCACCCCCTGGGTCCAGAGACCACCACCCCTTGGGTCCAGAGACCACCACCCCTTGGGGCCAGAGACCACCACCCCTTGGGGCCAGAGACCACCACCCCTTGGGGCCAGAGACCACCACCCCTTGGGGCCAGAGACCACCACCCCTTGGGTCCAGAGACCACCACCCCTTGGGTCCAGAGACCACCACCCCTTGGGGCCAGAGACCACCACCCCTTGGGGCCAGAGACCACCACCCCTTGGGTCCAGAGACCACCACCCCTTGGGTCCAGAGACCACCACCCCTTGGGTCCAGAGACCACCACCCCTTGGGGCCAGAGACCACCACCCCTTGGGGCTAGAGACCACCACCCCTTGGGGCCAGAGACCACCACCCCTTGGGGCCAGAGACCACCACCCCTTGGGTCCAGAGACCACCACCCCTTGGAGCCAGAGACCACCACCCCTTGGGGCCAGAGACCACCACCCCTTGGGGCCAGAGACCACCACCCCTTGGGGCCAGAGACCACCACCCCTTGGGGCCAGAGACCACCACCCCTTGGGGCCAGAGACCACCACCCCTTGGGGCCAGAGACCACCACCCCTTGGGGCCAGAGACCACCACCCCTTGGGGCCAGAGACCACCACCCCTTGGGGCCACAGACCACCACCCCTTGGGGCCACAGACCACCACCCCTTGGGGCCACAGACCACCACCCCTTGGGGCCAGAGACCACCACCCCTTGGGGCCAGAGACCACCACCCCTTGGGGCCAGAGACCACCACCCCTTGGGGCCAGAGACCACCACCCCTTGGGGCCAGAGACCACCACCCCTTGGGGCCAGAGACCACCACCCCTTGGGGCCAGAGACCACCACAACTTGGGGCCAGAGACCACCACCCCTTGGGGCCAGAGACCACCACCCCTTGGGGCCAGAGACCACCACCCCTTGGGGCCAGAGACCACCACCCCTTGGGGCCAGAGACCACCACCCCTTGGGACCAGAGACCACCACCCCTTGGGGCCAGAGACCACCACCCCTTGGGGCCAGAGACCACCACCCCTTGGGGCCAGAGACCACCACCCATCGGGGCCAGAGACCACCACCCCTTGGGGCCAGAGACCACCACCCCTTGGGGCCAGAGACCACCACCCCTTGGGGCCAGAGACCACCACCCCTTGGGGCCAGAGACCACCACCCCTTGGGGCCAGAGACCACCACCCCTTGGGGCCAGAGACCACCACCCCTTGGGGCCAGAGACCACCACCCCTTGGGGCCAGAGACCACCACCCCTTGGGGCCAGAGACCACCACCCCTTGGGGCCAGAGACCACCCCCCCTTGGGGCCAGAGACCACCACCCCTTGGGGCCAGAGACCACCACCCCTTGGGGCCAGAGACCACCACCCCTTGGGGCCAGAGACCACCACCCCTTGGATCCAGAGACCACCACCCCTTGGGGCCAGAGACCACCACCCCTTGGGGGCCAGAGACCACCACCCCTTGGGGCCAGAGACCACCACCCCTTGGGGCCAGAGACCACCACCCCTTGGGTCCAGAGACCACCACCCCATGGGGCCAGAGACCACCACCCCTTGGGGCCAGAGACCACCACCCCTTGGGGCCAGAGACCACCACCCCTTGGGGCCAGAGACCACCACCCTTTGGGGCCAGAGACCACCACCCCTTGGGGCCAGAGACCACCACCCCTTGGGGCCAGAGACCACCACCCCTTGGGGCCAGAGACCACCACCCCTTGGGGCCAGAGACCACCACCTCTTGGGGCCAGAGACCACCACCCCTTGGGGCCAGAGACCACCACCCCTTGGGGCCAGAGACCACCACCCCTTGGGGCCAGAGACCACCACCCCTTGGGGCCAGAGACCACCACCCCTTGGGGCCAGAGACCACCACCCCTTGGGGCCAGAGACCACCACCAGGGGCGTACATAGGGCGGTTCCCGGGATGCCCGGGAACCAGTAAAACAAATTCGATATGGGTACAGAGAATTTTTTGATCCAGTCCCAGCGCTAGTATTAATGCGCTCACAGACTCACAGTGCAACTGCATGTCTGGAGTCCGCCTGCCGGTCCGAGCACTCCGAGGACGGTGACTAGCCCAGGTGTGAAAGTGGTGCTGGGAGTGGGACACAGCGTAGATCTACTGAACTGGGCCATGCCTGAACCCATCATGGGTTCAACAAAGTCTCTAGTCTAGTTACATCGCCGGATTCCTCGATCTCAGAGTCAAATTTTCTTTTGGAGTTTGTTTTGACAAAGTTGGTCGTGTTTTGACGATGCTTTCGCTTTGTGGAAAAGAAAAATGAAGCGTCGACATCCAGAGGGCCAGCGCTCTATTCAGAGCTATTTTGAGCTGCAGGCAAAGTGTGTAGCCAGTGCTAGCGGCGAAGGTCAAGCGATAGATGAGAATGCAGACGCACCTGACGTGCAAGTGAAGTATGCATGCAACGAGCAGCGCTGAGGAAGAAATCGTCGGCGAAGCTGTAGAGCGACCGTTGTTGGAAGCTGCTGGATCATCCAAAACTTACTTCAATGACATGGGAGTGTGTTGGAAGGGATATTCTGAAAGTCGACGTCCACAGTGGAATCCAGTCCCCCGAAATTTGCTGGACAAGGAAAAGATTTCCGTCATCGACAATCATTGTGCGCCACCGCAGGCGAAGGATTTCATTTCCTGTGCGTGTCCAGATGGATGGCAAACAGCGCCACTTTCAACTATCCTTGTTGGAGGAGTTACCCTGGATAGTCTTTTGACAGGCATGCAATGGTGGCTTCTGCTTGCCCTGTGTGATGTTTGCTCCAGATGATTCGAAACTTAGGCAGCTTTCAAGACTGCATGCAATCGTCATGCTGAACAAAACATCCATAAAACGGGGAAAAGTTCAGTCTTTTAAAATCATAAATGCGTAGCAATGACATCGTCCAGCAGCTTGTGGATGGCAATTTCACCTAGTCTGAGGAGAATATGCAGAAACTCTGTGGGGTACGAAAAACAGCACTTCAATTGTGTGTAATGGTTGTTCATCAGTTGGCATGGGAACCACTCCTGGAGGCGAGCGGCGTACGCCCCTGGCCACCCCTTGGGGCCAGAGACCACCACCCCTTGGGGCCAGAGACCACCACCCCTTGGAGCCAGAGACCACCACCCCTTGGGGGCCAGAGACCACCACCCCTTGGGGCCAGAGACCACCACCCCTTGGGGGCCAGAGACCACCACCCCTTGGGGCCAGAGACCACCACCCCTTGGGGGCCAGAGACCACCACCCCGTGGGGCCAGAGACCACCACCCCTTGGGGCCAGAGACCACCACCCCTTGGGGCCAGAGACCACCACCCCTTGGGGCCAGAGACCACCACCCCTTGGGGCCAGAGACCACCACCCCTTGGGGGCCAGAGAGCACCACCCCTTGGGGCCAGAGACCACCACCCCTTGGGGGCCAGAGACCACCACCCCTTGGGGGCCAGAGACCACCACCCCTTGGGGCCAGAGACCACCACCCCTTGGGGGCCAGAGACCACCACCCCGTGGGGCCAGAGACCACCACCTCTTGGGGCCAGAGACCACCACTCCGTCGGGCCAGAGAAAGCTGTCTTTAGTGCCAGGTGTCCTTAGTTAGAGGTAGGCAGCGCAAAACCATTATATGAATGTGAGACCGTCCGTGCCTGGCAAAGAGGTCTGTAGTACCAGGCTGGTCCCTAGTCACGGTGGTCTTTGGTGACAGGTTTGACTGCATTTTATTAATTCACGGGGTGCCTGGGGTGTTGCACAAGGTATCGTCGGTCAATACCGTAGTGACCGTACCGTGTCCGAAGCCCCTGATTTTCTATGCTGAGCACTTGTGCAGGGAGCATATTCAGGGACTTGTGCGGGGAGCATATTCAGGGACTTGTGCGGGGAGCATATTCAGGGACTTGTGCGGGGAGCATATTCAGGGACTTGTGCGGGGAGCATATTCAGGGACTTGTGCGGGGAGCATATTCAGGGACTTGTGCGGGGAGCATATTCAGGGACTTGTGCGGGGAGCATATTCAGGGACTTGTGCGGGGAGCATATTCAGGGACTTTGAGTGTGTTCCTATGTACACATAGGGGCCGATGAGCAAAATCAATAGTTTCCTCGATTTCCTTTACCTGCAGAAAGTGTGGATTGGTGGTTGGGGGCGGAAAGTATACAGTGGGTCATTTTGAAAATACAACCAGTGAGGCTGAATCAAAGCCAAAACTGCAGTCGTTCGTCTCTTTCATTTCGTTTTGTTGGAGAAGGTCTGATGGAGCAGTTGGCGGGGGTGGGATCGACTTGAAAGTGCTACGTCACAACCAAGCCGAAGGCACGACCACACTGACATTTTAGTCTACTAACTTAGACTCGGGGTTGCTACTTGTAGTACAATGGGCGTACTACAATGAAGTCTTATCTTCACTGCACTAGCTGCCAGTCTGAGTGAGTGCGTTCGATTATGCCCGCGAATCGATTCATGAATCGATTCGCGCTATTCACATCACCCCATGTGAATAGGGTGAATGGTTTCCGAATTGATTCCAGGGCTCTAACCAGATTTGTTAATCCAGCACTCTCCCTAATCCAGCAGAATTTCCGTAGCATAAATGCTGCCGGATTATAAAAGGGAGCACTGTGACCAGTCCTTGGTGGAAAATGCTGGAAAATGACAGATTCTGCTCGAAAACCAGTGAAATTGGAGCAATACGAAACTTATGGCAGGCACTCCTTGCTCCATTTCTATATCCACACACCAAACATGCATGAAACATGCTCGAAAAGTAACTAAATCTTGGAAAGATTTCTGCGGCCAATACTGTATCCAGCAAGGGCTGACTGTGCCAATGTGAACATGCAGCGGTAGACTACACAAACTGGATTTGTACGATTGCATGATCATACAGTGTGAGGGGCTGTGTATGGGGTGGCATCCAATGATCACAAGCACTGGTTGCCAGTGGTTGGCCACGCCATACAAAGTTTGCACAATGACGTCATTCCCATGAACACTGATGTAATTATTTATAGTGGTATGCACGAGTAGTCGGGTACCCGTGAGGACCTTGAGGTAGACGGGTACAGAATAGTACCCGAAAACCCGAAGTCGCAGCTGACATCATGTACAGTGCACGTGTACACATTCATGTAATACTCCGCATTTATTTTATTACAAGCAATACATGGCTGGGGTGGCCAATGACCACTTTGTGTGACGATTGCAGCGTTTTTATAGCCAACCACGGCATGTCTACCCAGTGTGTAAGGGAAGGGATGCATTGTGCCGTTACCATGGAAACACTACCCGATCGGGTACCCGTGCTACCCGATCATCCCTAATTATTTACATAAACACCAGTGCCAATACAGATCTGCATCCACAATATCTGCAGTTCACTCCTCTCTGACATGTTCTCCCTTCGCCGTGACTGCGCTCACACAGATAGAGTAACCCGCGGCCAAGTCAATTATTCCCTTTCCTTACCCATTGTGCAAGCTCAAGCTGGATACCGATCTATTTCATTCCTTGGTGCTGACCGCTTTAATGCGCTTCCCGAATCCCTAGCTTCGCACAAATCATATCCCCAATTCATTTCGCCAGGAGCTTAACAATTTCATTAATCTTGGGCACCCTGTAAGAAGACCTTAGGGTCTGTTGGGAATGCCCAAGTAAAATGATAAAATACAATACAAATACAAAAATACAAATCTGATGTAGTCCACGTGACAACTACACACATGACTCGACTATACTCTTAGTCTTACCTATGGTAATAGATGCTAGAGCAGACGCTGAAAAGGTCTCATTCATAAATGTGGCAGGCGTCGCACTGATATTAGCTGTGCACCCATAGTCGAATCCGCTGAGATCCATGCTCCAGACGAGATTGGTCAGCCTGGCTCGCTCCTGGTACTCGCCGGAAAACGCGACCAGTGATCCAGTGGGCAGACCAAAATGACTCTCCCACTGGACATCAGAGAGGAACTCGCCGTTCGTGGCCACGCATAGCAGACTGACGAAAGCACCATCGCTGACTGTGACCTGACCTGGAAGAATTGCCAGACTCGGCACGGGTATGTTTGGTGTCGCAGGCTTAGCGCAGAGCGTGACGAGAATGCCTGCAATGAAGACGAGGTGCAGAACGGACAAGTTTCCGGTGGTGAGGGTTTTGAGCCTTTCCATCGTTGCACCGCGCGTAGATCTACGGCAGCCACCTCGACTATCCACGGACCCACCACTTTTACCCTCGCTACGCAGAGAACCACGCACACACACACACACACACACACACACACACACACACACACACACACACACACACACCTACGGGTACGGCCGGACGTGATCCACCGTCACAAGCGCGAACCGACAGATCTCCGGCTTCGTGCCACCGTCATGACTACCGCACGTCTTCGTTTGGGCGCGAGAGGAAAGCACCTTCGGCTGAGCTGAGCTCTGGGAGGCCAACCACGTAAAGAGATACCGGTATCACGTCTACAGCTTCGTGCACTGCTGGGCGCAACATCACGCGGCGCAACTCTAGAATTTTGGAATCAAATACAGATCTAGAATGTTGCGGACGAGAGCTGCTTCTTTCTATAAAATTTAAAAGTTGTTTATGCAGCTCAAGTCACTCTAAGTCTAACTCTAGGTAAAGATATGATCATCTGACCTGAGCCGACTAGATCGATGAGGCTCTTTGGACTCTTGAGTCTGGACCGTCAAGGCATCATGCGTGACACGGTCGTCGGCTGAAGTGAAGTGCTCAAAGCTCATGGTAATATCACGTGCATACACACTCGACTCCCGAGTCCCGTTGAAAACTTCAAAAGTCCTTGGGACAGGGATAATGATATGAGGCTCAGGTCTTGCTGATAATATGCACAGCTCAATGAAATCCAATCGTGTGAGTCAAGTACTAACATTAGTAGATCTACGCGCCGCGCTGGTCGCTATGCTGACTGGCAAGCAGTGGAATGTTCTCCGGTGCAGGGTGCAAAGGTGACTCTCTGGATCGGATTTTCATTGAGCAAACACTGTGTAGACATCTACAGTCAGGCATATGTACTGCCCTCGAGGCAGGAGATGGTTAGACACAGGACGGGGCCCCGGGGTTGAAAACAGGACCGGGCTCAACATTCACTTTCTCTCCTTGATATATTCACCAGCAAACATAATTATCACAGTGAGAGTACAATGTGTTTACTCCGAGTCCGAGGCTCCGAGCCAAATTGTCATGGCTCTGCGATGACCAGAAGTGCCATATCCAGTGGTCCCTCTGTAATCCGGCACCATTTGTGCCACGGGAAATCGGCTGGATTAGGGAGGGTGCTGGATTAACTAATCGGATTTACTGCTGCAATGTGTACGAAGAGGACATTTTGACTACTAAAAATTGTGCTGGTTTATCGAGGATGCTGGTTTATAAAGTGCTGGATTAGAGAGGGACGACTGTACATGTATACCAGGCAGGTGAGTTTTTGACGGGCTGTAAGTCTATCTGCTGTTTCGCACTGCAACTTACTTGATTTATACTGGAAGACGTTTTCCGAAAATCAACGTTGGCTCAACCGATTTCGAGGTGACATAGCGTTCAACACACCTTTATCTACTCCTCGGCAACTAGTCAAAAGCTGGAAATACCGGGATGAACAGAAGACACAAAGAAACATCTTGTCTTTGCACGAAAATGGAGATCGCTGGCATCTCCACCACTAGTTTGTCGCGGTTTGTGCCAGCAGCTGCTTCTTCTTGTCGCAGGGACTGTAAACAGCGGCTCGCGTCTCGCCAATAAAGCTTGCTTGAAAGCGTGTTACAGTGGTGTAGTTGGTTCATAACTCGTTCCCATGTGTTTTCTTCTCTTTTTAATACATGTATTGATTATTTTCATTAATTTGAGGGAAAGTTGTAAGCCGGAAAATGCTGAAGGAACTATTGGCCGCCACCATCAGGACTCGAAGCAGCGGTCCTCGCTTTTGCAGTTTTGGCCCGCGATGCTCTACCACTAAGTTACATTGTAGGGTGTTGTCCTTGTATGTTTGCAGATATTGGCCGAGGGCATCATCCAGTGCTTGGCCCAAACTGCGTAGACCGACAGGTACACTGTACATGTACACGTACATGTACAGGTACGGCAGGCAGGCAATGGCTGTACCACCAGATGCAGATCATCATCAATTTTATACTATCGCTCCAGCAGAATTTCTCGCTTGGGCTGCACATTGGGCTAGTACGAGGGCGTTACACCTCTGAAATTGTGAAAAGGATAGAAAAGACGTGGAACATTGCCACAGAGCATCTACGTGTAGGAAGAAAACAGATGGGAACGAGTTATGAAGCTAACTCCAGGAATCCCTCAATCGATCCATATTCGGTGTAATCTTGAAGACTTCTCATGCACACGACTTCAGCAGTGTTGACACTCACTTGGAGAAGGACTATACTATAGTGGAGATACGGATATTAGTAATGTCAGGTGCGTGTTGTTGAGACGTTGTGATACGAGGGTCTTGATAATGGAAGTGGCGACACTCGACATACTCTGGCCCGGGTACTGGTACCGGGTGGGTGCACCATCGCTAATCTCGTGCAAACACGTGACAACCTTCATGTAGACCAGGCTACCACACATCATCTGCTCGGCCTCCTTGGTATTTTCCGGTACACGTGCACCACGTACCACATGTTCACGCACGCAAATACCGAAACTGCAAGTACTGCACGTCATGTAGAGCTAGCTAGCTACTGCATGCCGGCGCGGCAGACTGCATTTTACTGTCGCGTGCACGTACACACATGCATGCACACCTACATGTACGTGTGTAGTGAGCATCACGGCATCATCAGCGCTGTCATAGAGCATAGATCATACATTCATAGTGTTGGATATCTGCACTAGCCCTTGGTGTGGCGGAAAATGCTCGAAACATTTGGCAGATTCTGCTCCAACTGAGCAGTGAAATTGGCAGGACCAGGGCCTATTTCAATCGCCAGTGTGCAATCCAATGCTTTGGGGGCGCAATGCGTGGTGTGAATGACATTGACACACTTGACAAACATCGGCCTACATGCACGACCATCTCACTGCATCACGAAATCACACTGTGCCATAATGATGGTGGCACCATCACATTCCAATCTATCCCAGTACTGCATTACAGCATCATGCATAAGGCCGTCTCACGACGGTCGCCTTCTTACGCATTGGGTGGGGGCTGCTACCATGTATTTATTCATTTATGATATGGGGAGGAGGGCGCATTAGTCTTAGTGCTGCACAGCGGAGGTAATCAACGTTCTGCCCGCACCCCACCACACACATACCCGCACACGCACACGCACGCACGCACGCACGCACACACACACACACACACACACACACACACACACACACACACACACACACAAGTGTTCAATAGAGAATGGCATGTTCCACCATGACCGTACATGGTGTTGTGATTGTGGAAATTATTCGTAAAGAATCTCAGGTAGATTATCTGCCGACAATCACTGGATAATCGATTAGTCACACAACTGGCAATGCCAAAAAAAGTTGAAAAGTCAAAAAGATGCCATAAAAATTCTACAGGGCCAGGGTGATGTTCGTGGGCATGTCAACATTTGAGCGCACTGCTACATGTGCAGTAAATGCATGCCATGACGTCATCAGGGGTCTCTGGGGGACTCTGGTGACAGCACCATCATCGCACCAGTGATCATCAATTCATCACACAGTGACGGACTAGCGGACGGTGTGCAACACTATCTGCATCTACACACGCACAGCATAGCAACTGCATACGCCGGGAATAGTGAGAAGGGCATTCAAGAAAAGCAGGGAACAGCATTACGTTCAGACTGTGTGCGCCCATTCGGAAAACACCTGGACGTCAACACAACACTCCGATGTTACGACTGGGATTTTCCTTTGCCGCACAGTAGCATGCGTACGGGGCCGGGCGGAATCGCCTTGAGGAAGTCGACCGCCTCACGACGCGTGATGCTAGTGAAGTCTTTTCCGTTGACTTCGATCAGCAGATCGCCGGCATGCACGGCCTTGCTTCTCTCCGCTGGTCCGCCATCAAAGACAGTCTTCACCTGAATGGGACCACCGCTCTGGCCCGCTCCCTTGCCGCCCGCCACACTAAAACCAAGACCAGAATTTCCTGCACAAATATAAACAGCAAAAAAAGATTTAAAAAAATCAGATTACCGCCCTCTACAATAAAGAGGGTCCGAACCGGTTTTTTTTCCCAATACGGTTCAAATGATCACAAGACCGGAACTCTGGCAACCGGGTTATGGTCGTAGTCAGGAGCACTGTGCGTCCTTGCCTTGTAACATGCTGTCGACTTGGAAAACATGTTAAACTTATCAAGTAAGGTTTCTACATGTATATACACCATACTGTACTTGAAGGGCACTGAGGTTGTTTTCTGTATGTTCTATATCGTGATAGTTAGGTTTAGCTTCATGGCTCGATGCCCAGTGGGTTTAAAAAAAATGTAAAATTGTATACACGTAGCAGCACAACTGCCCGGTGATATTAAAACAGAATTTTGAAAATTTCCTGTGGCTCTTAGAAGGTTAACGCTGGATCGTGGACCACCTTCAGTCATTCCTTTCTTCTACCCATGTCAGTGTTTTCATCTCCACGACCATACCTGCACTGGACTCTCTTGTCGTACAGTTCTCTATAGGCTATGTCTAGCCGGCCGAGTATAGTTATAGTTATTAGTTATAATGAAAATAACGTCATTCCGTTACGGGCTTGAAGGCAGCTTGCTGCGTCAATACTAGGACAACTCCCCATCTACTCCACCCAGTGTTTCCAAACGCTCTGTGCTTTTTGTACACCTTGAGAGGTTTACACTGTACAAACTAATTATTATAATTACCAAACCCCAAAAAAAAGGCATGGCACTTCAGTCTTCAGAGACAGCAGCAGGACAGAACTGATGCTCGTCGAACAAAAACTGACATATTCATGTCAATGTCAATGCACTCACTGTGCACAGTGAACACACAGTCAGTGCAGCTGACACTGACCACTTGCAAGTGGAAACGATTGTCACTTTCCCGCTATCTCAAAGAATTCACAGAACTCTTCAGAAGCATGGGCTGTTGTCTAGAATGTCCCAGGCCACTGGACTCTAGGAAGCATGGGCTGTTGTCTAGAATGTCCCAGCCCACTGAACCCTAGGATGCATGGGTGAGTAGTAGTAGTAGTAGTAGTAAGTTGTGTTTGCATGCAGAGTGCAAAGTGATGCAGCTTCTGCTTGTGCTACAGCTGTATGCCCATAATTATAGGGTCAGAACTCTAGCGATGCACTCTGTTATCCCAAATATGGGTATGATGCTTTGCCATTGCTCACATATCTGCACAGCTGGCTTCCTTCACTGACGTACGTGGCGAAGCAGTTCTTTATTTAGAATAGACCACAGTAGTCCAGCACAGTTCTACCGCTTAAAAAGTAATCGTCTTTTCAGGAACAGGATTGCCGAGCCGCTCCTGGCAAGCGAGGATCATGCTCTGATCCATTTCTCAGAGCATGAAACCTCCGAAGTTGCCACAGCAATCGGTCTTCGTGCTCATGATTCAATTCTCTGTCGCTCGACCACTCACTCTCTTTCCCAGGTTCAATAATCTAGTAGTTGATCGTCTATCTCTCAAGAGTCGATTTTGTTACTATAGCGATAAGTAGCACTAGTCAAGAGGACACTACGCAAAGAATCTCGAGAGTCTCAAGAAAATCGAGTATGAAAATTCACTCACCATTATTCTCTTCGTTCTTTGCATAATGTCATAATGTCCGCTTCACTAATACCGCTATAAGTTATTGTCTCCTCTTCAGGATTCTCCCGCTTGCATCTTTCCCCGAAACCAATGAATACTCTATTCCTACTACTGGCAGTTATAATCTATTGTCCCTGTAGACTCTCCTGCCATACATGCCTCTCTGAAGTACACCAACAATGCTACTCAAGCCTCTCTGCTAGTGGTCTGTGCCTACATCATGTGCAATCCAAAAACCCATCCGAGGGCCGAGGCGGTCGCGTGAGACTCGGCGCTTTCGGCTCCCAGGTCGGATCTCTCTGGCCACAACTCTGCACTGTTCCTTCTGTGGCTCACTAAGCCAGTATGCCGCGTTAACAAGAGTAGGTACAGAGAGATCAAGTCACACTGTAGACAGGGGGCATCACAGGGCAGTGAGGAGTGGTAAGACCCGGGGTATGGGGTGTCCCGGGTGGGGTGCGGGGTGTCCCGGGGGGGGGGGGGGGGGGGAATCGGATCTTTCAGCCAACAGTGCTAGTGCACATTTTAGTGCTCTTTACTGCTTTTCTTTTTCTTTTTTCGATGAATTAGGCGGACCATCCTGGACAAAAGGTGGTACGAGCATGGTCATACTGGTCGTGCCGTGTGTGACGCCCTGGTGGATAACAGTAACACGGTGGTTCTTACCCTTGACAAGTTCCAGTGCCTTCACGTCCGACATCTGAATGCCAGCGCGCCGTGCCATGGTCATAGACAATGCTGGATTGGCCGACCCACCGGGTGACAGCCCACCCTTGCGACGCATGCGTCTCTCACTCGTTGTGCTGCTCAGGCTCATGCGGTCAAAGTCCTCATCCGAACCGTACCTACGTTATCAAGCATTGGGCAGATGGACGGACAAGAAAAAGGGCATGTCAGCAGACAGACAGACAGATGGGAAGACAGACAGACAGATGGGAAGACAGACACGCGTTTCATTACACCCATGTTTCAGGGAAAGCGTTCTCAAAGAACGAGGGGAGTGGCTAAAAACAGGATTGAATCAGGTTCATACATTGTTAGTGAGGATTTCGGAGTATGGCCATTGCTGTCCAATTCCACCTCACAACATCAGAGACAAATCAGAACTTAGGCAGGCTAATAACACGTATGCACCCGTACACTGCAAAGCGCCTGTATGTGTGTTGTAGTACGTTAATGTGTGTACGGCGTGCGTATGTGGTGTTGGTGTGTGCGCGTCTTGCTGTGGTGTGAAGAGCAGTCTTCGTCTTCAGTTTGTCATGTCTAGTTGTGTTTCCGTAGTCATTTTGTAATAAACAGTCTTTCCAATGTAGTTATCGTTGTCCATGGTATACGTGTGGAGATGGCATGGGGCTGGGGCAGGTAGAGAAAGGCATTTACAACATATGTGTGTGTGTGTGCGTGTGTGTGCGCATGTGTGTGTTGTGTGTGTGTGTGTGTGTATGTGTGTGTGTGTGCGTAAAAAAAATTAAAAAAATGGAAAATAAAAAATAGGGATTCACTGGCCAGAAAAAGTCACTTCAAACAGCTGTGTGGTGGATACCAGGCTAAAAATAGTGGTGGTCAATTCATCAGCCTTGCAAGCTGTTGAATGGTGTAATCCCAGCACAAGTTGCTATGTCTAACATAGCTGTTCGCTATCATCGATACCGCGATGGGCATGTCTGAGGTCTGAGGTCTGAGGTGTGTGCGCGCGCGCATGCGCGTGCCATGGGCAACCATCTTCATTACATAGAGATACTTATTCAGACACTCAAGGACTGACATAAGCAATCCACCCTGTTGAGTCGTGTTGCGAGGTGGAATGGGGTGCATGCTGGCAATACAGTATGCTGCCAGGGTGTACGGGCGCATGATGCGTGCCATACACCCTGGCAAAGATCTGGTCTGTGTGTGATTATGAGTAATGCAATTCGTGCCATTGAAAAAAGTGCAATGTGTTAGTGTCAATCATCTGCATGATTGTAGCGAGTTCCTTTTTTTTACACTTTCAAAGTGTTGTTGAACAACCTGGACACTTATGACTTCGTCCATACACAGGGGAGGAGTTGTTGGTTTGCGCTTCGCATATGTGTTGGAGCTAGGTGTCAGGTCGTTGAACGTCTCAATATCCTTGTCAGTGTTGAGCCTTGTTGTCGCACTATCTGACTGCACTTGTATTTAGATCTCGCTACCTTGGTGGACTGATAATCATAACTCGTAACTTATTGTTCATACTTGAAGTAAATTAAAAAAAAAGAGGATCATAATTTTACAAGTTATCCGTTTCGTCCAACACTAACGATTACAAGCAGGATAATGGTGGGTCAGAATGCTCAACAATTAGCACAAAACTGACTGATGTGATACTGACATTCAACGACCTGATGCTTAGCTGCATCACGTCTGGAATGCGCAAACCAACAGCCTTCCAGCTTGGAAGGTTCTCAGTTATGAAGGAAGTCCTTTTTTAAAGTGTAATCCTTGGCTCTCCATCCGAGTACACACTTATTGGTCCTTTCTCTATACACACTCTGTATACACACTCTGTATACACAGGAGATATACCCTGAGCAGCACAGCTACACTCTGTATACACAGGAGATATACCCTGAGCACAGCTACACTCTGTATACACAGGAGATACACCCTGAGCACAGCTACACTCTGTCAAGTAACAGAATACAACTGAACATTCTACAGCATGGGCGGAAGACAACGCCAGCTTACTTTTCCATGGTCTCGCTGCTGCCACGCGGGTTGAATCCCGGCTCGTTGTCCAGCGTGGCCTGCGAGTCGAAGTTTCTTGACTCCCCTCGCTTGACGGTGCGGCGCATTGTTGATCCACGGCGTGTTTTCAGCGGTGCAGCGGTTGCCTGTTTACGCCTGGTCACCGACAGGATGACCTCGTCGGGAGCGGACTTGAGAGTTTCCAGTGCCTCGGCATACGTGGCACTCTCCATGGGCTTGCCGTTGACGCTGATCAAGCAATCGCCAGTCTGCAGCTTGTTGCTCCGTCCAGCGGCGCTGTTCGCCACGATACGCTTGATCTGCACACCGTGTCCGCATGCACGCATACACACAAAACACACACAGACACAGAGACACACACAGACACAGAGACACACACACATACACAAACATCATGTCACGCCCATCGCCGGAGGCAATGATAGCGATGCTACAGCAGAAGCCATAGCAGCTTGTGCTGGGATTGCACCATTCAACAGCTTGCAAGGCTGAAGAATTGACCGCCACACACACACACACACAAACACCCAAACACACACACACACACACACACACACACACAAGCAGGCGACCCACTTGTCACGGGGACCATTCTGATAACGCGACTGCCTCTCCTCAGTGTTCCACTAGAACATGCAATACATGCCATCATTTCCAGTCAAAATATCACGTTTAGATTCACCTTAACTAGTCACCTTTACCAGGTGTTGGTGTATTTCACTCATGACATCATCATCATCATGACATCATTTGAACAGCCTCTTCTACGGGCAAGCAAAAACGCAATACATCAAAATTCAAATAGAATGAAAAAAGAGAGGAAAATGAACACAAAGTGCACTGGAACTCAATATAAAAAGGAACGCAAAGTGCAGTTGAACACAATGAGCATGGGGCATGGGGCCACCAATCGGAGAAGACCGGCTCATAATGGAAAATAAAAGAACAAACATAAGACACCCGTACACATCAACGTGCTCTAAGGGTATGGCAGCTTGTTAAAAAGCTGTGGCGCTGGCGCTTGTATGATGCCATCATCATCATGACATCATCATCATTCAGTCTTACCATGACAGGTCCTACATCGGTATCCACCCCGCCGACCAACGCCAGACCAAGCGGTCCACCTTCCTTACGCAGCACCACCGTCAGCTTCTCCGTTCCGTGGACCGTTGTCGGGGTCGTCGATCCTTCCTTGCTCTCTTTTACTGCATCACATTGCACAAGGAAATTTAGACGGAAGAAGTACAGTCAGACCTCGCATAACTGCACACATCCGTTTTCGACAAAAATATCCGGATAGGCGAGGGAACCGGATAATCGAACACACATACTGTATGTCTGCATAGCATATGCTGTAAATCAGTAACCTGGGATTTTCTTCCGGATGGCGAGGGATCCGGATAAAAGAGGACCGGATAAGCGAGGTCTGACTGTATGTAAGTAAGGTCAATCGCGTGGATAATGGCCTCGTGTGTTGCCGCATGCACACAGTGTGTAACAGTGTGACTACGCGTGCTGCATCACTGCTGTTACACGCCAGCTTACTGGTAGGCTACGGCCTGTCAGCGTAATGTGCACCTGTAATTCCTGTACATGCATTATAATAACCATCTTGCTCTGAGAACAATGTCGAATCCAACAATACCAACTTTCTGAGAACAATGTCGAATCCAACAATACCAACTTTCTGTGCGGGCTGAACGATTACGCAGCGAATCTGCAGCACCCACATGATTTGTGCAGGCACGCCCAGGATTGTCATGTGCATTTGTACACTGTGGGTTTGTTTTGCACCCACATGTGCACTACTGTCTAGGCAGGTCCTTGACTTCTGTGTGCATCGCCTAGCAGGTCTGTATCACCCACGCGAGTGTACTCGCAGCGAGAATAGTGAATGGTAGTCTCGGTTAGGTCGTATGACGAGTGTTTTTGATTTCCGAAATAAAATTGAAACCAATCAAGAACTTCTAACCCAGACAATTTGATTACCTCTAATATCTAGTTGTTGAGGAATACCTGTATTTTCAGAGAGATATCATAAAGAAAATAAAGATATGCCAAAAACCAGACCCCTGGGGTCCGTTTGGACCCCACAACCGGGAATGAGGGTAAAGTAAGAGATGCTAGTACATGTAAAAAGAGGCGGGCGCAAATAAACCGCTGTGTGCATGTGTGTGCATGTGTGTGCATGTGTGTGCATGTGTGTGCATGTGTGTGCATGTGTGTGCATGTGTGTGCATGTGTGTGCATGTGTGTGCATGTGTGTGCATGTGTGTGCATGTGTGTGCATGTGTGTGCATGTGTGTGCATGTGTGTGCATGTGTGTGCATGTGTGTGCATGTGTGTGCATGCGTGTGCATGTGTGTGCATGTGTGTGCATGCGTGTGCATGTGTGTGCATGTGTGTGCATGCACACGTCATTTGTGGATCTACCTGTAAAACTTACAATGTTGTAGTTACAGAGTCGAGGGAAACATGCAAACGGGAAAAGTCCGAAGAACAAATGACTGTCACCACCAGGACTCAAACCAAGGACCCTCTCTTGAGGCTAGCGATGCTCTAACCACTGAGCTATGGTGTAGTTGTCCTCCAAGCAGAGACCGTTCAACATTCTCTTTAGACTTTGTAACTCACATTGCAGTCTCTAATCATTCTTGTACGATGTCAGGTTTGGAGTTTGCTTGCACGCAATCATGCCCAAGTACAATTGCACAGTATGTAGGTTAAAATTACCCATGGTTGCACTTGATGGGAACGCAAAGAAGAGTAGTGCTAGCTCAACTCACCTCTACTCAGCGGTCGTGGACTTCGGTTTGACGGCGTTGAGCCAGTCGGTGGTGATAGTACATTGGCGTCCTTTCTCTTCGGCTCTTGTGTCTGTTCGTCTTTAGCCGGTGTGGTCGCTGGATGTGCCTCATTGTCAGCGGATATCTTCACTGCGGGTACAGTAGGAGAGACAGGTGCAGTGGGAGAGACAGGTGCAGAGGGAGAGACAGGTGCAGTGGGAGAGACAGGTGCAGAGGTAGAGACAGGTGCTGAATCAAATGTTGCTGTAGAGCTTGGCTGTGTCGTCGTTGCTGACTTGACCACGTCTCCAGATTTTGAATCCTCTTCTTTTCTGGTGGCTGCTGTTTCTTCGGACCCGTTGTCTCGCCCGTTGGATTTGTCTGATTGTGTAGACTCGTGTTCATTAGCCACAGTTAGTGTTGATGCATCGTTCCCGTCAGCTACATCTACGATAGCAGCATCAGACCTTGGCGGGTTAGAGGCCGTTTTCAGGGGCGTTGGTGCTGCTTTGCGAGGAGCAGGTGTCGGAGTGATGATCTTTGCTGCTTCTTTGTTTGCTTCTCCATCCACTTCATTTCGGCCAGGCTCTTGGCTCACGCTGGTAGCCTGTTGCGGTGCATTGCTAGTAGCTGACTGGAGTAATGTTGGGGCTGCCCCCTGTTTTCCAGCGTCCTCCGCTGGGGGCTTATCCGGCTCTGGCGTGGCGTGCGGAATGCTCTCCGTGCTCTGGCGTGTGCTGTGCGACGCTGGTTTCACTGACGGCCGCGATGTCTTGGGCTTCACCGGGCTGGCTGAGGGTGTTGATGCTGGTTTATTGTCGGCTTGGACGGGCCGTTTGGGTTGTTCGGGCTGTTTGGGCTGCTCGGGCTGTTTGGGCTTCTCTTCAGCCTTCTTACGAGACACAACCAGTTCAATCTGTAAAGAAAACGATAACAATACAGAACACCAGGAAAGTGAACATACAGTGCCCTCAGTACCAAACCAGTAGCAGCTGCATATCGTGATAGATCTAGCTGGTGAAACATGGTCAAGAGTGAACCAGAAGCTCACACACCAAACAACATGTCTAACTCATGTCCTATGCATTGGAGTTTTAAAGGCCCAGTCCAACGCTCAGCTGAACGGAACAGACTCCCACCCACCACCAACCGGCGGCATATCAGCACGCTTAAAAGAGAGGAAAGCTTTTCAATTCCCACTACCTGCCATGAAAAACTCGGTCCTGTCAGAAAGGCGACCGCAACTTCCCTGATGATAACAAGAGTATTGATCAGAAAGTTTGAAATGTCGGTTGCATGATCGTGAGCAATCCCACTTGATTGCATTCACTGTAAGATCAGTAATGTTAACGAACATTTAATTCTAATGATTTAACGAATTTAAAATATCTGTTAACATTTGCAGTCGTTATGTGCAAAACGATATGCACATGTACAGTCCTTTGCCGGTTTTGAGACAGAACTCGTTAGAATTTCACCTCGCTAACCCACAAAAATCCGGAGGTCGCTAACTTTAATTATTGACGTTAAAATATCAGGTCTTAGAGCACAGTGAAACATTGCGGCAATGTACTCTTCAAGGGATGGAAACTAGTATTTGTATAGCCCGGGCACTCCATTCTCAAGGTCAAATAACAGGGTAAGATACCCAGGGTAAGATCCCAGGGTAAGATACCCAGGGTAAGATACCCAGGGTAAGATACCCAGGGTGGGTCCTAAGAAAACAGCACTCGATATCCTATACAATCTGATCCTACTCGATATCCTATGCAAAGAGAATGTAGATGCAGGCTATACTCAGGATACGTTATTGAAGTGTTAACTGCACATGCGCTTTTATTGCGTATGGCGTAGATCAATTCATATTGCTTGGTATGATAAAGGTCCACCTCGCCAGTTTTTCACTCAATCCTGATGGTGGGCCCTGGCCGACAAACCCCATTGAAATTGAAGAGGTTTTCAGGGAAGAGACCACTTGCAATGGTTTAGGGTTTATCATTGTTGTGCACTTTTACTGCATGCACAAGCGATGCATCTTTGCGTACATTCTATGATTTTACTGGCGTATATTCTAAGGGCCAGTCCGGGGTTACCGATTGTTTTTTGCAAAACAGTTTTAGTATTTTTCCACCCACCCTTTGTGCAGGTAAAACGCAGCCCAACAAAATAGTGATTTCAATCTTCTGCACCCAGACGTAACTGGGCATTCTCCGTGTACATTCATTAATAATTATTATTTTCAAAATGAAACTCATAAAACCTACCCACCCCCAAACGAAAACATTTCGTTTGGAAAATACCACAGGTAACCTTGGATGGCCCCTAAGCCAGAAAACTATACAGTCTTATAGAAGATGATGTCATTCGTCTACACAAATTCTATCATTCCACTAGCAAGCCTTTGTTTTTGGATACGTGACTCTTTTCTGCACTTGCCTTTGTTTTCGTCTTGGCTGTTGCAATGGCCTGTGTTGCCATGGTGCTGTCCATGCCAACCAAGCAATCATCACCCAGCATGATTAGCTGGTCGTTAGCGCGCAGTCTGCCATTGCGAGCGGCGCAGGAATTCGGTTCAATTGCTTGGACGAAGACGTACTGTAGCGAAGTGTCTATGCCGCCCTCGAGCACGATTCCCAGGGGCTCGTTCGGCAGACGATTCAGCTGGGTGGGACCAGGGAGAACGCCGGGAAAAGCAACGATGAAGCAAACATTCATATGCGCATACTAGTACATATACATTTACAGCTTGCTGTCTACAGCATTGGGTATTGGGTATACATTTACATAGTTATAATATATGCCTGCAGGCAATCACCCACATACGAAAGCACGCACGCATACACAAAAACACAAATACACACACCGGCCAGCACAAGTCTTCAAAATGATGTATGCAGCACAGCCGGTTATTCATGCTCGAGCACATGTGTATCATTTCGCAGAGCAATGCATTGACAGTTCAGTTATCTAACAAGCTACATACTACCGTATGATTTTATAGAGGTCATGGGATTACATCACTAGTTGAGATACCACCGCTACCCACTGTACCCAGAGATGCATTAGCTACATGTTACAGTATGTTATGAGGTCATGGCATTACATCACTAGTTGAGATACCACCGCTACCCACTGTACCCAGAGATGCATTAGCTACATGTTACAGTATGTTATGAGGTCATGGCATTACATCACTAGTTGAGATACCACCGCTACCCACTGTACCCAGAGATGCATTAGCTACATGTTACAGTATGTTATGAGGTCATGGGATTACATCACTAGTTGAGATACCACCGCTACCCACTGTACCCAGAGATGCATTAGCTACATGTAGAGCTCAGGCAAAAACTGCCGATTCACGCAGCATAGTTGGCTCCCATAAGCGAATCCACCAACTTGCATTGTATACTCTGCGCCCATACGAGAATCCACTACTTCACCAACACAGCATTATTATTTTCGCATAACCTCAATAGCCTTTCTTCAAGAGAAGCATGACTGGGGGGGGGGGGGGGGGGCAATATGCCCATGGGTGCTGATACTAAAGGTTAAACTGCTCGAATGAATAATACCCTGACATGGTATTATTCATTTGAGCAGTTTAGCGTTTGATATTGTACTGTACTCGACAAACAATTCCACATCCTCTAATGCCAGGACAATATTTGTAGTAGCAGTTGTAGGTTCTTCTTTTTTCCGATCAGACTGTACCACAAAAGATAATGGAATGAAACAAGCTGGTTCGGAGCGAAACAACTACTTGCTGTTGTAGAGTATGGCCGGTGAACTGTTTGTGCTGGTGGCTGCAAGCACCGTGTGGTCACGTCTGGTCAAAAACTACTACTACATGTACTATGAATGGACGGAGCGAAATGAAGATGGCATCAACAAACCAAGACGAGGCTATCACCTTTTTGTTCTCGAAAACAAGTTGTGTGGTGAAAACAAGACGTGTAGCTCTGTAGCGGCCGGACTGTTTTCCATGCAACTATCCGATCTTTTTCTCACACACCATGGATGCACTGACCCTGACTATCCATGACCACGCTCTGTTATCCAAGACCCTGTTTTCAATTTTATCATTTCAGTGGCACAGGGGTATGCCCATTTCACATTCTCCCGGTTTATTGCACCCACTCTGATTGATAACACATAGTATTGTCTCTCTCTTATTGGCTACGGCCATCGTGAGAATAAAGATAATAACATTAGAATGTGCAAAAAAACACCTTTTAGGCCTGTTAGTCTAAACATGCACCTAAAGTTTTTACTCAATATCCTCCATTTCCGCTGGTGATCTCTAATGGAATAAGCCGGCTGTCTGGAAATCTTCCATATCGTGTCTCAATGGAATTGTCCCTGCTATGGTTGTGGGGGGGGGGGGGGAGGGCAAGGGTGCCGGGGAAAGTCGTGGCATCGACAGTGGTGGTGGTGGTGGCGACGGTGGTAGTGGTGCAAGTCTGGGCAATGATGAAGTGGAATGTTGCGGAGGATCCACACATTCAAACCACTAGATCCCAGGGTACATGAGAAGTCATTTCAGCGGTATTGGGGTTTCTTTCCTGGGTAAAATCTCTTCCTCAAAGTCATTACATTTTCCATGCCCCACTGCACCATACTCACTTTCACTGTCATCACCACCCTCTCGACTCAATCTACAAACTCTTTCTCTCACGCACACACACACTCTCTCACACACTCTCTCACACACACCCACACACACACACACACACACACACACTTCAAGTGTGCGTCTAGCATGCATGTCGATGCATCAGGAAACGACAGTTATGTGTTAAGTTGATTCAGAACATTTTCAGTGTTGTCAGTGGCAGCTAATAGTGGGCCAATTAATCTTCAGATTTAGCAGAAATAGATATCAGTAGGTCAGTTCACTACGATACGCATATCACTCAAGATCAGCTTAGAAGAATCATCATTATTTTTTCGATTAGCGCAGTCATGCAACAATAATTCTCAAGGTACATGCATGAATTATTTAGAGTTTAAAAAAGATTAGAAAGCGTTGGATTGTTATCATGTGGACTGTTGTCACGGGTAGTTAGCCATGTCAGAATTATTTCGACTTCCAAACAGAAACTGAGAACGAAACATCGTCCAGCCTGGGGTGACAAGGTGCATATCCAGGTAATGGCATGCCACAGCAGTGAAGGATTGCCATACGGAATATGTTCACCAAGCATGCCATGGTCGCATCAACAGCCCCCAGCAAGCACTAAGTACTGGCAGCAATATAGCATGTGGTGCAATGCAGAACTTCCAGGATGTCATGCACGCCATGACACCTATGATGTAATGAAAATGCACTGGTGACATCATACACATACACTGATGAAATCACACACAGAGAGACCCTGATGACATCATGCACTGACACCAATGACATCATTCATTGCTCACATGTACACACCCGCACAATCACACGTGACCTCATTCAAACAGGCAAAGGCACACCTATGATGTCATGATGTTAGGATGTTATCCAGGTTCATGCAGCTACAGAGCCGTCTGAAGTACATACAGCAGAGAACACACACACACACACACGAACACACACACACACACACACACACACACACTAACACAATCAATACCAAGGAGAGATTCTCGGATTTCAGTTCATCCTCAAGATGAACGGCATGCACGGCAACACGGCAGAGAGAAGGGGTGGAGAACGTGCTCACTTCCATACATGGCAGAGAGAGGAATAGCAGTGCAAAATTGCAGAGTGTTTCTAGCTAGACCGATTACACAGACCTATGTAAGATGTACAGGCAACAACGGCCCTCCAATAAGCATGCACTCCCAGACACGTAGCCCGCATAGGGCACGGGGGGCACGTGGTAATATGTCTCAATCCGCAAGAATATTTTGGTGAAACGGCCGTGCACCTCCAAAGAGGGGGACCAGCTACGCTCCTTACTCCCATACCACGAAATAAAAAGAAAAGGTACTAGCATAGACACAAGTTTGAGAAAGACCGTTAGCCGTAATCTCACACACGCACGCACACACACGCATGCACGCAGGCACGCATCGCTTCCCTCACCTCGATATTGATGACCCCCTCTTCTGGATCCCGCTGTATAACCGACGTGGGCTTGGCATCATCAGCCACTGACGACGGTACTTTCCGCATGTCTGGTGGGCTGGAGTGCGGGGGCAGCTTGCGCGAGTCAAAAGATGATGACTCAAGTGTGGATACACTGGTTCCGAGTCCCGAAGAGGACTGCGAAGTACCCAGTAGATGATCGTCATTGGATGGGGATGCCACTGTGCACACACACACGTACACACACAGACCATGTTACTGTTAGTATAGACCATGCATAGGCATACATTCATATCTGATCGGAAAGGTCATGTGTACATGTGTACATGCGTGTGTGCGTGCGTGTACTCGTGCTTGCAGTGTGTGTTTGAAGGGGGGGGGGGGAGCTAGCTCGGTTGGTGGGTACATATATGCCAGATAGCGTTGGGTATGTTGCCAATGGGCTCGTCTGTGAACGTGTTATGTATCTGGAACTTTTGTTTGTTGCAGGGTTCATGAGAGAGAGAGAGAGAAAGATAAAGAGAAAGGAAGAAAGACAAAGAACCGGAGAGCTGGAGAGAAAGGAAGACAGAAAAGTAGGGGTGAAACGAAGGTCTCAAATTACCATTCGAACCTTCTTTATTAAAACGAACGAAGGTGTCGAAGGATTCTCTTTTTAACATGATCACGGAAACGCTCGGAAATCTTAAAAATAGAAGGGGGCAAAAAATCAGAACCCCATACTTATGTTGTATGTGCAATTCTTTCTGAATCTGGTGGTATCAATGTATATCCATTCCAGGTAAAAGAATACTTTGGCCCAGCACACAACTATAGATAGAGGCAAAGTTTTAACATACTCTTGATAGAGGCCATACCTAATACCTGTTTGTGAGTCAATTGTCCATATTTCTGACAATTTAGATCAGTGTACTTTGGATCATGTACAGACGTGTTAGCCTTCGCCTTTTTGACACAAAGCGACAAGAGATCACTGCTCTAGTGTACAGCCAGTTGCATGCTTGAACAATACCAAAATGGATGGAAAGAGCCATGTTGCGTAGTAAATATCAGATGCCCAAATTCATCAAAAATTGTCAAATCTGGATATGTACTTTTCGCTTATCTGCTCGCATCCAGCGACTGCATTGGTGATGGAGAGGAGAGTGAATAGTCACTGGGTGAGGAACTTCACCTGCCTCGATGATTTCAGGCCATCGCTGTGCTCCCTCTCGCTGCTGCTGGGAGAGTGAATACTGCAATGGCTTCAGCGATGGAAACTTTTATTATCGATTCAAATTATGAGACTACACTCGTATGTATCGCTGCTACAATTTTTTCCAGACACCATCACTACTAGTAGTAGTAGATATCGACGGCAGCTACAGCAAGCTATATTCCTGGTACAAGCAGCATTACTGAGCGAAAACAGGATCGAAATCGCAAAACTACTCTCCTACTAGTATCGCAGAGCGCCAAGCACTCTGGACGAATACAATCAAGAAAGTAATCTATGAGTACACCATGGTAGATCCACACACTGCAGCAAAACGGGAACACGCTGAGCGCCGGTGACTGGAACAGGGCCAGTTCGTACTGACTTGTGACTTGTCACTTCTTCAGCTCCGGTGCGCACGCGGACCGTGCCCCTACTTGTACTTGTAGTACAGCATGGACAGTGCTAGTGCATTCAGCACACCGCACAAAATCAATGCATGCATATGCATGCACTAAAACCCGTGTCGACCTTCGTTCGAATCGAAAACGAAGGTTCGTTTCAAAGGAAAACGAAGGTCCTTCGAACCTTCGACTACTTCGTTTCACCCCTACAGAAAAGACATCACTCTGCTTTATGATCAACGGGCCTAACCTTTGCCATTCTCCACTGGCTTGGCAGTGACAAGCGTGGCCGGTCGCACGAGTAAGGTAACCTTGCCGCGTGGCAGGCTCTTAAGCAGGGAATCTGCTTCAGCACTGCTCATACCGGATACATCCTGCCCATTGACCTTCACAAGCTGATCACCCGATCTAGCCACATAGAGGACAGAAACAGAACAAAATTCGTTGGGAATAAACCGGTATGCTTATACGGCAAAGCGGCTGTTTGTCGGAAGGTGCAGACAAAAGTCACAAAACCTCGATTTAGATCAGATCAAGTACAACATATCCAGTTCAAATTTCCCACACCGCCGGCAGGCAGAGGTTTGCAGCGGTTGGCAAACGTCCCTGTATGTGAAACTGCCAACAACAAAATTTTAATGTTATGGTATCCCACAACCATCAACCCACCCCCACCCCCTCTCCCTTTTCTCCCCCCCCCCCTCCCCCCCCCCCCCTGGTTCTCTAACAAAAACAGTTAGCACTCGGGAGGAACTTTCAGAGTTATCGTTTTCTGGCAATCTTGTGTGAATCCTTACCTTAGTTCAGCACCCTTGCCAGTGGGTGCCGCCTTGACCAGCACTGCACCATCCTGTCCTCTCTGTGTACTGATCCCAAGGCCGGCGATGGACTTCCTCAGCTGCAACTCAAACAGACCAGTCTCCGAGCGCTTGCCAATGGTGATGCTGCCCTGCGCTGATGACTCATTGATCTGGGTGTATGACATCATCTCTGGACTGGGCGAGCTCTTTTTGGGACTTCCCCGTGAAGGCAGCGGGGATGACTTCATGCGGGAGAGTGATGACTTTCGCGGTGTTTTCGGCGAGTCACCTTTGCCGGAGGCCAGGTGAGAGGTGAACGAAGACTTTCGTTGTGCCTCTGGTGTTTTCTTTGGTGTCGTCGGTGTTGATGATCGATGGTATGGCTGCACGAGCGGAGGAGTGGAAGACTTTATCACAGGCGGTGTCGACCGGGACGAAGTCTTGGCGGAGTGACGCGGTGATCCCTTTGCCGACAAGCTGGGTGATTTCTTGGTCAGTTTCGGCGACGGCTTGCTGCCCCTGTGCAAAGACATGGTGGTGGACGCAGCAACACCAGGTGCGTCGTCCACACTTGCTTTCCTGCTGGGCGTTGCCAAGCTCTCATTGGATAGAATCATTTCGCTGAGCGGACTGCTGGCCAGACTACCGGCCGCGGAATACGATGCGGGCAGGATGGGTGGCGGTGACGATGCCAGGATACGCGACGGCAACTCCTCCACTTTGGTTGGTGTGGCAACCGTCGACTGCTTCGACATGCTCCGTACCGAGTCATTGCTGTCATGGTGATCTCCGCCGCCACCACCGGAGAAACCAGAGCGTGTGGTACGCGTGGTGCGTGTGCGTTTGCGCGAGTGACGGGCCGCCATGGGAACTATGGAAACGTCATTCTCATCGGACTCGTCGGATTCGCTCTGCTTCTGCTCTTTGCTGAGGCCGGCGGCCGTGATGCTGGAGAGGGAACGGCGATGGATGACGCGGCCCGTGTTCGGTGAAGACTGCTGGCTGGACGCTATCATGCTGGATACACGACTGCCTGGGATCGAGGCCGGCGGAGACACCTCGGGCAGCGGTGGAGGTGGTGATGTCGCTGGCTCACTGTCCGACTTTGCACCACCGTCGGTTTCGTGCATCAGCTCCGACAGCCTCTGCTGGGACACTGATGGCGGTCTTTTTGGTGTGGCAGTCAGGCTCGATGCAGGACCTGCCTTCTTCTCTTGCTCGCCACCGGGACTGGTCGGCTTGGACGTTGGTGTCTTGGGCACGGCCTTGGCGACAAGCAATCGCACGGTGGAGCGTGTTTCGCGCAGCAAGTCGATGACAGCGGCATTGCTCATGCCGGCAAGAGTGAGACCGTTGACCTCCACGATCTGGTCGCTGATGTCGATGCCGGCCGTGTGCGCCGGGCCAGCGCGGTGTACGTCCGAGACCATGATGTGCCCGACGGCGGAGTCCGCGCCGCCCATTATGGTCATCCCCAGGCCCACCGTGCTGCCCACCTTGCTCAGAGTGACCTCTTCCAGCTGAGTGTGCATGCTCGTGGGACGCTCCACTATCAGCGGGGACGCCGGCTTGGGTGCTTCGGCTTTCTCGACGTTTGAGCTGTGCCGCGAGACGGCGGGTGAGTTTTCACGGGAGGAGATCGATTGGTTGAAATAGTCGGACAGGGACGCCATTAGGCTGGATGACTGCTTCAAGTGCTGCTCGGGCAAGTCTTTCTGTTCCACCGCTGGCTGGCTACCCGCTACCCCTGCGGCGTGAGGTTCCGCTGTGGGCGACTGCAAGGACACAATGACAGACACACACACAGACACAAGAATAGTCTATTGTGCATGAGCAGAAAGAGAGAGATAGATGATGAATGAAATTCAGACATCCAGTCAAGCAAACTCCCATAGGAATCTGTGCTCAAGGCACACATACCCGAAAACATTCGTGTCCAAAAAACATGCCTTGAACTGAACAGGTGGTCATTCTACACGGACTCAACTTTGAATGTATGGTAAAATTGTGTCTAGGACCCAAGGTGAAACACACCCATGAACTATGCATGCACACGCGCACACACATGCACACACACACACACACACACACACACACACACACACACACACACACACGCACACGCACACGCACACGCACACGCACGCACGCACGCACGCACGCACACACACACACACACACACACGCGCACGCACACACACACGCGCACACACACACGCATGTGCACACACACATACACCACACACACAACACACACACACATACACACACACACACACACACACACACGTACACACACACACACACATATCATTTTTATTATCAAAATTTTGATAGGGCAATCCCCACAGGCCTAAGGCCTTCTTACAGGGTACCCTAGAAATGAAAGTACTGAATTACGGAATAGGTGCAGGGAAGAGCATAAGCGGACTGCAGCGGGGAGTGCACTCCAACGGTCATACACACACACACACACACACACACACACACACACACAACACACACACACACACACACACACACACATACACACACATGTGCACACAAACACACACACACACACATAATAATATCAGCACATTCCAAGAGAAACCCGCGACAGGACTGCCAGAAGCTTCAACTTCAACTTCTCCAGCCATCCACCTTGCCACGTAAATGCGTTAACATACCAAAGAGTCTGGTGGCGAAACAGCAACAGTGGGTTGACTCGAAGCAATTACATCAGCACCCTCGCCCAATGTGCCTCTGCCAAGACCTGGGGAAAGTCCCTCTGGACTGAGACTGCGTCGCGATGGAGCCTGCAGTCCGGTACCGGCCAGGAATGGTTCGATCTCGCCGGACGGGCGGCGAGCAAAGAAACTCTCCGCGGTCAGCGCGCTGTTATCGGTATGGCCATTGCTCTGGGGCACAGGTGATGACGTCATAGGTGATGACGTCATAGTTGTCGCCGCCGCCGCACTCGCTACTTTGGCCTTCTCCAGGCGCCGTGCACTCTCGTGGAAACTGTTCGTGCGCTGGCCAGCCGCAGCGGAGAAAGACTGCAAAAATAGACAACACACACATGCACACACACACACGCACGCACAGACACGCACACACTCACGCACGCGCGCGCACGCACGCACACACACACGATTGCACTGGTTCATGTTCTACTGAATGTAGGTGAGCGTAAGCTGCAGCACCTCATGCTGAGGTCCTTTTCACATTGTTTCAGTATGTTCCAATTTAGTAATAGAGAGGTTAAGGTGCACGTTATTTCCGACGTGACGCGCAATTTCACCTCAAATTTGACGTAAAACTCCGGATTTCGGCGTGAGCTGCAGGTCACTCGCGTTGTTTTCGACGTGCGAGCCAAATAACGCGAGCTGACCTTTCGCGTCACGTCAGAAATAACGTGCATTTTAACCTCTCTAATAAGTCACACTTGATTGTAAGTCGAACTCGCTCGTTTCACCGGTTTGGGATGTGTTGCAAAGCTCAGGAGAGTGCCAGACACCAGCAACTACTGCATAACATGTACACACGGTACCGGTAGATAGAGAGACGGGGAAGTAGTGATGTTGGGATTCGGAGTTTCCCTACTAGTATAGCTCTGACGTATACAGCCGTTGAGAATATCTTTAGGCAGTGAAGGAACCTACTTGCTTCTACGCATGCACACACATATTGAAGCACCCATTCACACAAGCATGTGCGCACAAAAACACACACGCACCCACCGACCCCCGCCCTCTCCCCCCCCCCCCCCCCCCACCACACACACACACATACACACACACACACACACAAACACATACATGCACAAGTATCAGACCATACACTCGTACGCAGGCATTTTGCA